AGACCAGCAGCCCTGAGTGCTGGTGCAGGCCACGCAGGGCCCAGCCTCTGCAGCCAGAAGTCAGGGCCAGTGCCGGTCCTGGGCAAGATGGCCATTTAACAGATGAAGAAAGAAGGCTCAGGGCCGTGGGGACTGTCCGGATGGGTCACATGGCCGGCAGGTTTCAGGGCCTCTCTGTCCATCCGGGGCCCACAGCTACTCTGTGGCTTGGGTGTGGTCTGGAGCTACTGCCTCAGGACCCACGACCATCCTGGCAGTGTGGCCCCTTCAGAAAAGCTGGAAATGCAGAAATTAGGCACAGGCACCTCCCCCATGAGCTACTCGAGAGAGAGGAGCAGTCACGCATCCTTATGGAGAAAAGGAGAAGCAGTCCCCAGAAAGGGTTTCCCTGCAAGATTCCTCAGGGCCCGGCAGGCCTCAGCCCCAAGATTGAGGCCAACTTATTGGAAGGGTGTGTGTGTGTGTGTAAAACTGAGTATGCGAGCATGAGCCCAGAGCTGGGGGTGCAGGCCACGGAGGTGTGAGGGTCCACCTGCCCGTCTCGCGGACCCTGTGTACAGAGGAGAGATGGAGGCAGGGGAGGTTGTGCCCTGCCCAGGCCAGTGGCCTGCCAGTGACAGAGGGGAAGACTCGCTCACGGTGGGGCTGCTTGGGATCACAGAAGAGTGGCCTGGAGCCAGCCAGGGACTCCTGGGTTCTGCTTCCCTGGGAGCTTCTATGGGAGTGTCCCTGGGCCCCCGATACCAACCCCTTCCGGGATCAATGGCCCCTTGCTTTTGGCACAGAGCTTCAGGGCCAGTGGGTGCCTCTGGTCCAGTAACTGAGGAAAGCTTTCGGTGGTGCTCTGGGCACCTCTGTGACCTGCCCCGGGCCCAGCCCTCATGCTGATCCCACTGTAGCCACCCTACTCGGTGCCCCAGGCCCTGGACACCTCAGGTCATGGGATGTTCCATGCGTTAAAACTCTCACAGCCACCTACACTTATGAGCAGATACAGAGGCGTGGTGCCACCTCTGCCTCCTCAGGCAGGATATGTTTTCTGTTTGTTTTGAGATAGAGTTGTGCTCTGTCATTCAGGCTGGAGTGCAGTGGTGCAGTCATGGCTCACTGCATCCTCAAACTCCCGGGTTCAAGCGATCCTCCTGCCTCAGCCTCCCGAGTAGCTGGGACTACAGTCTTGGGCCACCATGCCTGGCTAATTTGTTTTTATTTTTATTTTGGTAGAGACTGGGTCATGCTATGTTCCCCAGGCTGGTCTCGAACTCCTGGGTTCAAGCAATCCTCCCGTCTTTGCCTCCTAAAGTCCTGGGATTATAGAGGTATAAGTCACCATGCCTAGCCCAGAATGTGCCTCTTAACCTTCATACCACAGCCCCTATGCTCAGGACGAGGAGGGACATAGGCCAGCTGCCCCAGGTTCCCCCAAGGGGACAGTGTCACCCTGGAGTGGGCTCCTTGGTGGACAGAGTCACCGTCTCCCAGCAGCTCCCAATCCATCCCATCACAAGCCGGGACTAGGCACTGCCATCAGTTTGATAGTTGATTTTTTCCTGCCAAGAGGAGGTCCCTAAGAGCCTGAGCTATCGGTGAGGGACAGTGCTGTCCTGTGGCCAGGCCCCATTGTCGCTGGGGAGTGGCCTGGCCTGTTCCCTCACCCAGCTCCGGTCCGCACCACAGTCACTCCACTTGGGGTTGTCACTGCCAGAGGTTAGGACGTCAGCAGGAGCCAGCCTCATGTGGCAGAGGTGATGGGGAATTACAGCCTGCAAGGGCTGATGGCATCGGAGAGATACAGGAAAGCAAAGGGCTTATTAAAAAGCTGAAATTGATTCTAAACGAGGTCAGCCGTCGATGCGCCTTGGAGGGAAGCCAGGCGCTGAGCAGCAGGAACGGGGCTTATTTCCTGACACTGTGGCCATGACACGCTGCACCTCCCCAGCCTACTCCACCCCCACCCCACCTCTGGAGGGTAACGTGCACCCAGACACTGGAGCAGAGCCAGTGGGGGTGGGAGCAGGGCGGAAAGACCCCCGCGGGGCACCACAGGGAGGCATGTGGCCAACAGAGCACCTGGCAGGCAGGTGTCACCTCCGAGGAGGGTGAGGGCAGGAGGAGAGCTGACCGCTGCTTCCTTACCCTGGGGTCGGATTGCTCCCTTTGAAAATCCATTAATGCAAGGAACGGTGCAGCCACAGGGCCATCCGATTGGATCCGCTCCCTCCCGCCCGGCCCCAGTCTCCGCAGATTTTCTCTGTGGTTGCATTTCTCATCTGAGCGTCCCTTCCTCCTAACTCCAGTGGAATTTTTCTGACCTTGGCTGCCAAGGTGTACAGCCCCCTCCAGCTCAGGGAGCCCTCTTTGGGGTGCTTGACCCGGGCACTGGCTCGCCCTGTGAGCTCAGGCGCATTGTCTCGCCTCTCTGAGGCTGCCTCTCCTGTGTCTGAGACAGGGGTGATCGCACACCCAGCCACCCAAGGCTGGCCAGGATGGAGGGAGGCAAAGCAGGGGAAGCCCTGGTGCAGCTTGACTTGTGTCTCCTGTCCCTCCTGTCCCTCCCTAGGGCTTGGTCATCATTATTTTGGAATCAGCTGAATCATTTCTGTCAAATGCGAGAGGAAAGCCAGTTTTGAGTTGGATAAAGAAAATGTCTTTAGATTCCTGTTAAAAATAAACATGTGTGCATAACACTGCTGTGTAGGAGACCACACCTGCCGTCCCTCCTTAGAGCTCCCAGTGGCTGTGGGTCCAGGAGAGGAGCGAGGCCCGCAGGTGTGGCGAGCCGTCTGAGGGCTGGCAGCGTCAGGGGCTCTTCACAGCCCGTCACCCCACAGAACCGCTGGGTTGAAGGAAGCTGGAGGGATCAATTGTCCTTGTCATCCAACTTCCTCTGTCTGCAGATGGGGAGGAGGCGCTGGGTTGGAAAGTGCTTCTCTGAGGACGCCAGCTGCACATTCAGGAGGGTGGAGCAGGATGTGACCCCAGAGCTCTGACCCCGGAGGAGTAGGAGGGGTGCCTGGGGCCTCAATACCCCAGAGGAGAGGGAGGCACCCCCCTTCCCACAATGCAGGCCCCAGCTGGTGCTTGTTTAGCCTGCTGTCTAGCTGGAGCCACCTGGGTGGCCACCAGGCTGCTGGGAGGGCTCACCCCTGAGCTGGGTGTGCTGTGGAGCCCGTTACCCCCACCTCTGCCTTTGCTGGCTTTTGTTATCCCGTGCTGGGAACACAGGTGCCTGCCCACCCCGGAGGCTCTTCATATCACCAGCTCGCTGTGGCCGCTCCCTGATCCCGAGAGCGCATGTCCAGGATGCACTGTTATCTCGACGCCAGACACCTGCTTACATGGCACAGACAAGGTTTTGGAAATAATGTGAGGCATGAAGGTGAGGTGCTCTCAGGTGAGGGAGGTGGCATGTCCTGATGGGAAAGCCAGGCCTTCGGAGGCTGAACCCTTCCCAAAGCTCAGCAGACAACCCCAAGAGTGTCTTTCCCCTGGCCTGGGCGTCAATTTCACACTATTGCAAGTATGCACTTGGTCCTCACCTGCCTGGGCCATGGTTGGGGTGAACGGTGCCCCTCTGAGTGCAGTCAATGGGGAGGGGCTCATGGCCTGAGCTTGGCTTTCCAGGGTGGCCTGGCCACTGTGGGGCAGAGAGCACCGTCTGCCAGGGCGAGGGGTAGTCTGGCACTTTCTCCAGATTTCATGTTCATGCAAAGACACGGTCATTCCTTTCCACAGCACAGAGCTCAGAGCTGAAGCAGCCTCCAGACCTGCCATCATGGGTATTTGAGGACTTAAACGTCACTGTCAGCCTACGACATTAATGTACCCCTAAGGCTAGATTCTGGGTTTCTCCAAAGAGACGAGAAAGACGATGAGAAAAAAGGAAGGAAGGGAGGGAGGAGGCTGGGGAGGAGGGATGGCTTCTAGTCCAGCTGGACAGATCTGTCAACCCAGCCTGGGGGGTGGAGCTGGGGGGATCAAGCAGAATGTCCTGGAGGCCGTTGCGCTCTGTCTACTTGTGGGAGAGGACAGGAGAGAGAGATGCCGTGGTGAGACTGATCCTCGGGCCCATGGGTGGATGATGGCAAAGGTCCTGTGGCAGGTGTGGGAGAAGCAGGGCAGCGGTCAGCTGCCCTGAAAGGCTTCAAATTCAGGCCAGATCTGCTCTGGGAAAGAGGAAGCTGTGGGTTTGGGAGCTTCAGAGACAGGGGAGCAGGCCTGTCACTCACCCTCTTTTCCTTAAACGCTGTCACCCCCAGCAGTGCACCCTGCAGCCTACCTAACCCCTGTGCAGCTCCAGCTCCGTGTGTCCCCAGCGATGCACCCCACGCCCATGTCCCCCACTCCCTGTGATGCTCTCGCGCCTTCTGGAGCAGCCGTGGTACCAGCTGGAGGCTGTGGGAAAATTGAGGAGACAAAAGTGGGAACAGCAGGCCGTGGAGGGAGTGTCTAAACACAGGGACTATTTGGAGAGTGTCTTATTTTTGGTTCGAAATGGGCCCACCCGCTAGTATTGTACAAACGGCTCTGCTCACTGGGCCAGGGCTGAGGCGGCTACGGGCCCATCCTTCACTGGTTGGCCTGGAGCAGCTCCTCGGACCTCAGTCTGCTCATCCGTGGGTGGTGGAGGTGGTGCAGCCCCCATCCCACTGGGGACTGGGCCAGACGGCTTGTGAGGCAGTCAGCCGGTGCCTGGCCAGAGGGCATCTGAAAGGCCTCTTGGCTGCAGGGGGGGATCTGCTTTTGGGACAGCTCTTCAAAGCCATCTCAGAAGGGACAGCATCCGCCTGTCTGCTTCAACTCCCACTGATGACGTCCATGTGTCATTAGTGCCAATTAGAGGAGGGCAGCAGGCAGAGTGCTTGGCCTGGGGCGCAAGCTTGTGGGAGGGACAATTGAATTCCCCACCAGACAAATGTGATTACCCATGTTACTTGGACCCACCCCATTCAGGACCGGGGCATAAATAGCCAGGTGGGACAGGAAAGGTCACCCCAGCCATGCAGGCCCCCAGTCGGTGGTGTCGCTGGGCCAGTCTGCCCTGCCCCAGCATGCGGGAGGCGGCCTTCATGTACAGCACAGCAGTGGCCGTCTTCCTGGTCATCCTGGTGGCTGCACTGCAGGGCTCGGCTCCCCCTGAGAGCCCCTTCCTCTACCACATCCCCCTGGACCCCGAGGAGTCCCTGGAGCTCTCATGGAATGTCAGCTACCCCCAGGAGGCCATCTTCTTCCAGCTCCTGGTGAAGCAGCTCAAGGCTGGAGTCCTGTTTGGGATGTCCGACCGTGGCGAGCTTGAGAACGCAGACCTCGTGGTGCTCTGGACCGATGGGGACACTGCTTATTTTGCGGTGAGTTTCTCCTCCCTGCCAGCTCTCCAAACCCTTCCCGACCCAGCACCCCATCTGGCTGTCCTTCCATTTTTTTTTTTTTTTTTTTGAGATGGAGTCTCGCTCTGTCACTCAGGCTGGAGTGCAGTGGCCAGATCTCAGCTCACTGCAAGCTCCGCCTCCTGGGTTTACGCCATTCTCCTGCCTCAGCCTCCCGAGTAGCTGGGACTACAGGCACCCGCCACCTCGCCCGGCTAGTTTTTTGTATTTTTTAGTAGAGACGGGGTTTCACCGTGTTAGCCAGGATGGTCTTGATCTCCTGACCTCGTGATCCTCCCGTCTCAGCCTCCCAAAGTGCTGGGATTACAGGCTTGAGCCACCGCGCCTGGATCTGGCCGTCTTTCTACACTCACCCTCCTTAACCCAGAAAGTTTGTCTGCGCCTCTCAGTGTTTGAGCTGACTCTGCTCTGAGCCGAGTCTGCACCCCGAGCTTGGGCATCATGGGGATCTCAGTTTGAGGACAAAATAGGAAAGACATGTTTTCCATGGTCCTTGACTGCCCACCCCAAATCACGGGACCCAGCAATCCCAAGGAATGGAACTATACACAGAGGACACACACACCACACAAACTCGTGCCACTCCACACCCCACACGTGCGGGAGCACAGACCCCATGACCCCCGGCCCTGTAAACAATGTCCCCAGAGCACACATGCCCACTGATGTGGGCCAGGTTGTGGCGCGTGGCCGGGCACAGCATGAGGCCTGTGCACCCATAGGATCCAGCCTGACCTACTGTGCTTGTACCCATGGACTGACTGAGCAGGTGCAGACACCCTGCCCCCACCCATAGGTGTCGAACAAGCCCCATAGGGCTCAGCCAAAACCGTCAGGATGGGCTCTTGACTCCTTTCTGCCCAAATTTACCTCCACTCTTGTTTCACAGGGTGGAGAAAAGGGAAGTTTCCCTTCAAACTGGAGAGGACTTTAGGCCCTTCCACAAGCCGCAGGGGATCCCCAAAGTGGGCAAGCCCACTGCCTGCCCCGGGTCCTGCTCCCGCCGTCCTTCCAATATGGGACTGGCCACCAGGGCTTATTTGTGGATGAAACCCAACTCTCTCCACAGAAACAGACAGAGGAGGGACAAAAAAGTTTTATTTCCAAAGTCAGGAGGTGCCAGCTTTATCTGGGAGAACAGAGCTGGAGCCAGGGAGCTGAGTCTGTGCAGATCGGCTGGCTCCAGCTCTGCGCCTTGATCTCACCATGGGACGGTGTGGCGGACAGTCCCTCTCTGCCTTTTTGGGTGTTGTGAGTTCATGAGGGCAGACGGTGGCCGCTGTTTCTAGAGCCGAGCTTGCCCCCTCCAATTCCCAAAACTCAGCCAGGAGGCATTAGCCTGTGTCACTAGTGAGGCTTAGGGCCACCCAGATAGGATAGGTGGAGCTGCTTGGGAAGGGCCCTGCTCTGACCCATGAGGCTGCACAGATTCCTGTGCACAAAGACTCTGTGGCTCAGGTTCCAGCCAAGAAAGACCTGGGACAGCCCTGATTCTGAGCCGTCAGCCGTCTGGAGGAGCAGCTGAACTCCATCGCTGACAGTTTGGAGTTCTTCGCAAGCCTCTGCCATGAGGCACCCTGAGTGCCAGAGTGTTTGCTCCTCCCTGGTGCAGCGTCCCCCTGCCTGCATTTCCCGGCTGCTAGGGAAGCCAGAGGAAGCCAGGTGACTTTGCCTTTCCGTGCACTGGCAAGGTTAATTTGCACAACAAATTCCTACGAAAACAAATGTCAGCCTTGTTATTCCTCCCTAAGCAATATGTTCAACTAATATCTTCTTGATTTCCAGCTGAAATATCACAGGAGAACTTTCTGCCTCTGTTTAAAATGAGTCTCTCGGCAAGCCAGCCGTGTCCCCGGCAGGGTGGCACTGTGTGGCTTTTTTCTCTAGGGAAAGTTTTGCAAAATCTTTTGCAGATTTCTTTTTTCTCAAGGAAATGAAGAAAAGATGTTTTACCCCTGAATGTCAGATTAAAAAGAAACACAACCCAAAGTCCTTAAGGCCAAGGGCCCGAGGCTGTCTTGGGGTTTCCATGGGAAAGACCAGGCAGGGCAGGGAAGCAGCTTTGTTTGGACGATTCTGGTGGGTTCTGGGTGGCTGGGGTGGTCTCTAGTTTTCTGGTTCCTGGCCCTAGGGTGATTTGGGGCTGGGGCAATATTGGCCTGGGGTGTGAGAGTCAGATGGATGAAGTGGCTAGGGGTATGGGCTTGGGGTGGGTCGGAAGGTTAGGAATATGATTCTCACACACATGTGGATGTTGGAGGGCAAGACAGGTGTAAACAACTCTGGTTATCTGTTTGAGCCTGCAATCAATTAATAGATGCCAAATAGACAAACATGGAATCTAAGAACGGCCCTTCTTGAGTACGAAGGGCAGCCTGCTTGTCGGGGAAGGTTCCTCACTATCTCTCAGTAGATCTCCCCGGTGGTCTTCTTCCCTGTGACCTGGCCTGAGGCCACCATGTCCCTGCCCCTTAGGGCCCAGTGCAAAGGGAGCAGCCGGGGACGGGGAGGGCAGAGGTCACCGATCCAGATCCCAGGAAGCATCGTGGGAGAATGCAGCAGGTCCGATGCCTCCCTGGGCCTCAGCTTACCTTCTCCAAGCAGGGCTGGGACTAAGGTGAGGGGAGCAATGCCTAGGCTGCAGGGTTTAAAGTGGTGCTTCAGGCTGGGTGTGGTGGCTCATGCCTGTAATTCCAGCACTTTGGGAGGACAAAGCAGGAGGATCGCTTGAGGCCAGGAGTTCAGGACCAGCCCAGGCAACATAGTGAGACCCTACCTCAAAAAAAAAAAAAAAAAAAAAACCAAAATTATATGTATTTATAAAGTAATAAAGCAGTGCTTGTTCTCAGGGTTGTGCCAGTGCAGGGTGGGCACCTGCTATCAATGACCACCTTAGATGTGGCGCCCTGGTTTCTCTCTCCCTTCCTGTTCATGTCCCACCCTGTTCCCAACTTTCCCCTTTCTGAGGCTCTGCAACTCTCCCGCCTGCATGAATATGGGCAGCATGGGTCTGAGGCATTGTTCCCAGTCCTGATGAGGTGTTGGGAGTCTAGCCTAAGGTATCTTCTTAAGAAGCTCAGTGTCCCGCCCTCCAGGCCTGGGAATCCCCATGGCTAACAGAGCCTGTGACCTGCTGGCAAGAGAGAGCCCTGGTTCCTGGCTGCAGAGGAGGTGAGCACTGTCAGGGCTCAACTCCACTGCCTCCAAGCAGAAATGGACATAGAAGGTGTGAGTGAAGCCCCAAGCCCAGGCAGAACCCTCAGATCCACAGGGACTGAGGCCCAGCAGCCCCAGCTCAGCTGGCAATGAATGCAGAGCTCTGCCGGGGAATGCCCTCTTCCCTTGTGGATTGGCCCGGCTGGGCTCCTTCATGCCTGGAGCCCAGTGCTTGTCTCTGCAGGACGCCTGGAGTGACCAGAAGGGGCAGATCCACCTGGATCCCCAGCAGGACTACCAGCTGCTGCAGGTGGAGAGGACGCCAGAAGGCCTGGCCCTGCTTTTCAAGAGGCCCTTTGGCACCTGCGACCCCAAGGATTACCTCATTGAGGTAAGGGGTGGCTGTGAGCACCCAGGAGGGCGTGGGCTGCGTGTACCATGCTGCCATCCTGTGCCAATGGCATAGTACCTTTCCTGTCCCTGGTAAGTCTGGGGCCTGGCCAGCTATGACAGAGGAAAACCAAGGAGGATGGCCCAGAGGCAGTGGTGGGGTCAAGGTGCTTAGGATGGCCCAGCTCTGCTATCGCCCCTGAGCCCTCAAAGAAGCAGCTCTTTGCTGACACGTAGCTGACATGGTTTCTAGATGCGGGGCTTGCGCTGAAGCCTCTCCCATTGGACTACACCTTGCTCCTGGGTGTCTGTCTCCTCCTGGTCCTATTAACCGTCAGGTGGAATTCGGGAACCCAGGAGACCTGGCTTTCCATCCCGGCCCTGTCACCAGCTCGCTGTGAGGCTCGGGATAGCTCCCCTCCTCCTTTGGACCTCACTTTGCCCATCTGTAAAACAGGGATGGGAACTAGATGATTTGTACGGCCTGACCAGCTCCGTCTGGGAGTTCATGGGAGCCACAAAACATTGCAAAAACCACAGGCTTCTTATGCTGCTCTGAGAGTCCCCCCCGCCCCACCTCTTAGGGAAAGCAATCCACCTTGTCCTTGAAGACAAAACCCTTTTAACTCTAGCACACCTGACATCTTTTTGTCTTGTGTAAGTAATCCTTTGGTGTGGCAGTGGCCTGGGGCGGCAGCTAGTGCCAGGTCTTCATCTATGGGGTTAGCTGAGTGACCACACGGGAGGCCAGTACCATTGAAAGATTGATTGCATTTCCTGAGAGAAGGTGCACCTGTGCCGTGCAGGCCCACCTGCGGAGCCCTGGTTTTGGTCAGGAGGCAGATGCGGGAGCCAGTGGAGAGCCCAGGCTTAAGGCTTTCTTGGGGTTTCCATGGGAAAGGCCAGGCAGGGCAGTTGCTTCATTTGGACAATTCTGGAGGGTTCTGGGTGGCTGGAGTGGTCTCTAGTTCCCTGGTTCCTGGTCCTAGGGTGATTTAGGGCTGGGGCAATATTGGCCTGGGGTATGAGAGTCAGGTGGAGGAGGTGGCTAGGGATATGGGATTGGGATGGGTTGGAGGGTTAGGAATAGGATTCTCACACACGTGTGAATGTTGGAGGGAAAGACAGGTGTAAACAACTCTGGCCATCTGTTTGAGCCTGTAATCAATTAATAGATGCCAAATAGACAAATATGGAATCTAAGGAAACAGAACAGCTGGCTGTTTGCCAGATGAGGAAACTAAGGCCCAGAGGTGGGGAGTGGACGTACCCAGGAGCTGGGGGTGTGCTGGGGCAGACCTGGGGCCGGAAGAGGTGTTCTTCCAGGAGGCTGCTGAACCCTTACCCTGCTTCCCAGTGGACGAGGCAAGGGTGAGCAGAGAACCCTCCGGAAGCACCTCACAGGGAAGGCCAGTGCCTGTGTGTGTTCAGCCCAGAGGCTCCAGGCCAGGTATAGGGGCCTCTGCCTGGAGCTCTGGGCGTCCTCTGCACGGGGTGACCCACCAGCTTTCCACAAACTCAAAAAGCAAATTAGCCGCCCACACGGGTCTGCACCTGTGGTGCCCAGAAAGCTACGAAAGGCACTTTCCACACCTGATCCCCGTTTCCACTCACGATAGCATTTAAGGAAGCCAGCCCCGTGTCTTGCCTCCTGAGTCTGCCTGTGGCCTCCAGCACCACGTAGACCCACGGAGCTTTCTGTGGCTTCTTGGTCCCCTCCTGCCAAGCTGGTGGTGACTACACAACACGGCGCGGCTCCGCGGCTCAGTGTGACCGTCAGCAAGCCCCAGGGTGGTTCCTTCCTTTCATAGACAGCACTGAATCCTCAGGCTGGGCTGCTGAACTGACCAATGATCCCCCACACCCAGTCCCCCGTTACCTTGGGGTCGGTGGAGGGAACAAATGTCCTGGCCACACTGGCTCATGGCGGGCCCAGTCGTCACTGCTTAAACGGATGTTAGGTGAGTGCAGGTGGAATGTGTTTAGAAAAGTATTGGATGGTTGGTGCAAATAGGGGATCCTGGGGGTCATCAGCCTGGGATTTAGTCCCAGCTAGTGCTATGCAAGCCTCAAGGGTCCCTTATTCACAGAGATGAGAGCCAGGTGTGTCATGTGGTAGATGTGGGTGGGCAGGGATGTGGCATCCCCTCAGGAGCCCAACTCTGGGGGCTCTGAATGGGTGACCAACTGAGCCCCGTCTTGGCTACAGGACGGCACAGTCCACTTGGTCTACGGGATCCTGGAGGAGCCATTCCTGTCACTGGAGGCCATCAACAGCTCAGGCCTGCGGACGGGGCTACAGAGGGTGCAGCTCCTGAAGCCCAATATCACCTTCCCGGCCACGCCCTCAGACACGTACGCCATGGATATCCACGCTCCCGATATCCAGATCCCCAACCAGGTGACCACGTACTGGTGCTACATCCACGAGCTTCCCGAGGGCTTCCCTCGGCACCACATTGTCAAGGTACGTGCGGGTTCAGGACCCAGGTCCTCGCCCAGCCCTGCCTTCCTCCTGGGCCTGGGTTGTCCCTGACCCTGGAGAGCTGTCCTCTTATCACCGGAACCTCAGGCACCTGCCTGAGGTCCTGCAGGATCAGCAAGTAGTCTCGGCTTCCCTGTCACTCTGCTCACTCCCCCACCCTTAAAGGGCCTCTGAGCTCCCACTTCCCTGCCTGGACCAAAGCAACCAACATCTTGACTTCTGCATCTTCTGCAGGAACTGCTGTCTGTCTGCCAGGCCACCTTCTCCTTCATGAAAAAGCAGCTTAAGTCAGAATTCACTTGCTCTCGAACACCCGCCCAGGGAAGGCAGAATAGCAAAGGCCATAGCTGTCGAGTGTCCACTATGCCCCTGGCTCTGGGGGAGGGGCGAGGTGACCCCTCCTTCAGCACAAGAGCCCCCAGTTTCCAGCAGGGGAAGTAGGCCCAGGGAGGTTATGTGAGTGTCCAGAGTCACACAGCAGGAAGGTGCATGGCCTTGAAGGTGCGCTCTGGGCCCGGGCTGTAACCTCAGGGCTGCCCTGCCTCCCACTGAGGCTGCAGGAGCCGGCCTGGCCATGGCCCCATATGCATGAGGACGGCTGCGTCCCGTCCCGGCCTTGGCAGGAAATGTCCTGTAAAAAGCTTATTTCCTTCACTCTGGAGCTCTCTACGGGATTTCTTTCTGGGCTGATGGCTCCACCCTCACGGCTCTGAGCCCCAGAAGTGCCCCTGAAATTGCCTCGATCATCCCCCCCCATTTTACAGATGGGCAGACAGACACCTATGGAGGAGAGCTGCTGGGGAGGGGAGGGTGGGCGGCCAGTTCCCGGGCTCAGGGGGCTGCCTCCTCACAGTACGAGCCCATCATCACCAAGGGCAACGAGGCCCTCGTGCACCACATGGAAATCTTCCAGTGCGCCCCCGAGATGGACAACGTCCCCCACTTCAACGGGCCCTGTGACTCCAAGATGAAACCTGACCGCCTCAACTACTGCCGCCACGTGCTGGCTGCCTGGGCCCTGGGTGCCAAGGTGCGTGCCCCGCGACCCCAGCATGGTGTCTCCTGCCTGGGCCCCTGGCATCCCCACATCTCTGTTTCCCCAGCTTCACTGTCTCGGAGGCCCCAAGAAGGGGCTCCTAAGGGGGCTCACGAGGCCACCAGAAGGGCCAGGCCTGAGATGGCCCCCTCGCCTCTGTGATGTCTGAAATGCCACCTGCTTCCAGCCTTTTTAAATTTTCCACAGAAACGTGAGTGCCCCAGGACCTCATGCCCTCAGCAGGTCCTGATTCTGTTTCCCAACTGGGTTTTGTGCACAGAGTGGTCCCAGGGCTGGCTGGTGGGATGGGGCCAGTGTTGAGGCCTCCACAGGCTGAGACAATGGGGGTCTTGCCAGCTCTTGCACCCATCCAGAGAAGGGGTTTTGGGGGAAGTCAGGAGGAAGCGTCGCTCTAATCCTGCTATGCCCCCTCCTCCACCCCTGAGGCTCAGGCCCCAACAGTTGACTGGGTTTGTCCCTGCCCGGACCTGGGACCCTTTCAGGACACACCCGTCTGTCTGACACCCTGCCCCACACAGGCATTTTACTACCCGGAGGAAGCCGGCATTGCCTTCGGGGGCCCTGGGTCCTCCAGATACGTCCGCCTGGAAGTTCACTACCACAACCCGCTGGTGATAGAAGGTAGGGGGCTCTGATGCCATCCTCCCCCTAGGGCTCAGCTGTGTTGAGCCAGTGAGAAAATTCTACCCTTTGTCTGCCCAGCACGGCGCCCCTGCTGTGCAGCTCCTCTTGGCACGAGGCCCTTGCGTCTGCCTCATCCGCTCTCCATCTTCCATGGCTGTGGTGGGCTCCCAGGGACGGGACCTCGAGGGGCTCACTCCTCACAGCACTGCCAGGGCCCAGCAGTGGCCCCGCACCTCCCTCCTTGTCCCTGTAATACTGGTGGCCATCGGCGCAGCACTGTCCATCCCAGGGGAAAGGACAAGGAGAATTTTCATAAGGGAAACTGCCAGATGCCAAGTTCCAAATAGAGGGAGCGGTGTGTGCCTAAACAGGAAGGTGGTAAAGCAGGACATATTCCAGGACACAGGGGTTCCGGCCTGGCCGGAGTGCAGGGATGGGAAGGGGAGCTGGGGGCAGCTACTGTTGGATCACCCGTGCTGAGGGTCAGCCCTCAGCATGGCAAGGCCAGGTGACGCTGTCTCAGAAACTGAAAAAAATACTTCCCTCTCTCTGTTGTACTAGCATCTTCCACCATATACAGACACACACGCACACACACGCACACACGCATGCACACACGCATGCACACACGTGCGTGCACACGCACGCACACCCGCACGCACATGCACACACACGTGCACACATGCACATGCACACACGTACACATACGCACCCACAAGCACACACACACACTTTTCCTCTCTCTCTGAATGGTGCTTCTTATTTTCATTTGTGCAAGGGGCAGAAGTGGCCTAAGAGATAGGTGCTAGGCTGTGTCTTACCACCTCAGGGAGGCCAGGTGGATGACCTCACCCTCTGCCTGTTCTCCCACCTGCCACAGCTATTGTGAAGCTGGGAAAGGCTCACGCACAGAACTTGCTGTGGGCACGGGGCTGTGCTCAGCGAACAGTCGCCTGTGGTTTTTTTTCCTGGCTGCATAAGTAATACCTTCCGCCACTGTTGGAGTTATCTCCACATGCACAGAGAAGGGTATAAGTCAGCTTGGGCCTTAGCATGATACAGGATTTATTGCTCATTTAAACCCTGAAAGCAAATGGATTTTTGAAAACTCCTTAAGCATCAGGGAAGTCTGTCTTTTCATGATTATCTGGCTGTATTTATGGATCCTTTGCCAAATATAAGGACGCTCCTGTCACTTCACCAATCTTGAGATGGGCTGCTTTTCTATAAATATCAAAATCCCACAATTATTTCATGATTTAATCCCCATCTGAATTTTAACCAATTGCAACACCCTTTTTATTATTATCCTCTGATGTAATCAGCCCGGAGATACAGGAGCCGTTTGAGTTTGGATGGTGTAGGGGTGTCGAAGGAAGAAGGCAGAGGCAAGAGGAGTTGTTTCGGCCTCACCTTAAAGGAAGCAAGCAGGGAGATGGTTGGGACCCCTGAAAATGCCCTGCACCCCTAGTCCACAGCCCTGGGTTTGAATCCCAGCTTGGCCGCTTCCCAGCCCTGTGGTCCTGAGCGGAGTCTTCAGTTCAGGCTCCATCCTCAGTTTCTTCATCTGTAAAATAGGGCTGATGATCCTTACCGTGCAAAGCTCCCATGAAGGGGATAGGTTATGCTTAGAGCATTTCTGGCACCCAGGGAGGATGTTCGTATCTGTACCACCCTCTTAGTTTGTTTGATCAGAAAGAGCAATGCATGTACACTAGTGAGAAGATGGAGAGCAGAAAAGCATGAAGAAGATGAAAGCACTCACGAGCTCCCGGCTCCCGGTTTTGAAGTCGGCACTGGTCACCCAGCTGCGTGTCTGTCCTGACTGCTTTTCTGGCCCATTAATGTTTTTCTTGTGACCAGAATTTTATACCTTTTTTTTTTTTAAAAGTCTTCATCAGAAGCCTTGTCCCTGTGAATTAAAACCCCTTGTCAATTTCACACTCCTTGCCGCCTGACATCCCTTTCCTATACGTAACCCAGGGGGCGGAGTCTCCTGCTGCACAGCCCCTCCTGACCACCCCACCATGTCCACCATACATCCGGGGGGCATGGGGCCATGGCCAGGCCTTTAGATCCTCCCCCAACCATGAACCCAGCCTGTATTCTGAGCCTGACTGCTGATTCACTAGGCATGGAGTTTCAGGAACGGCGGGGCTACCTGGATGATGCCTGGTTCTGAGGATGTTCCAGTGGGTGCCAGCATCCCTGAACCTCTGTTTTTTTGTTTTTTGTTTTGAGATGAAATCTCACTTTGTCACCCAGGCTGGAGTGCAATGGCACGATCTCCGTTTACTGCAACCTCCGCCTCCCAGATTCAAGCGATTCTCCTGCCTCAGCCTCCCGAGTAGCTGGGATTATAGGCGCGTGCCACCACACCTGGCTAATTTTTGGATTTTTAGTAGAGACAGGGTTTTACCATGTTGGTCAGGCTGGTCTTGAACTCCCGACCTCAGGTGATCCACCTCGGCCTCCCAAAGTGCTGGGATTACAGGTGTGAGCCACAGTGCCCGGCCCCCTGGACCTCTGACCATCAGTTTCATGTGACCGCTGGGAGGCTGGCCCAGGGAGCTTCAGGGACTCTCCAGTTAGCAAAGAGCAAGGAGAACCAACAAGCGTGGCCACACCATAATCAGAAGACACAGTTTCCGTGACTGGAAGAAGCACCATGTTATTCCTTTGGAAGAGGCCCTTGACTCTGGGCTGAGGCCCAGAAAGGGACAGCAAGTCATCTGAGAGCACACAGCACGCCGTTGACCAAGCGGGACCCGGGGCTGTGCATGAAGCGGGGCTAGACCTGCAACTCTGACCCTCCTCCTGGGGGGCCAGATTCTCATTCAAATTGTTCCTGAGAGGTCAGCTTGGTAGGTGGATTCCCTGGGTCTGCAGGACATAAATCAAAGTAGTAAAAGCGGGGGCTGCAGGGAGGATGAGCTCCTGGAATGCTTCTTGTTAACGTCAACACAGAGATACACTCACACTCGCCCAGCTTTGACACAGGACCAGGGCTTTTCTGTGCCAGCGGCAGATGGGAGTTCCACGCCCTCTTCTTCACCCAGACCACACCCTGCAGGTTGTCACCGTCCTGCAGGCTGATTTCCAGCTTAGGTTCCTTTGAACATGGAAGAAGAACATCAAAGCACTTACGAAACAATCTGAGCACAGAATCCAAGTTGTTTATGAGTTTCCATTTATCAGCAGCATCTCACCTGCACCTGATTCCATGGAGGCTTGAAGTGGCTCACCTTGATCACATCTTTCCATAGCATTCAACTAGTTTTCATAGAAACAATAGCTCTTTCTTCCCAGTGAGTGTAACCTGTTTGCGTTAATTGATCTTGTGAGGTGCCTGGCATCCACAGGCGTGGAAACAAAGACAGCCAGCTCTTGGTCTGCCTAGCAGGCGGGAGCAGATGGGGGGTGACCAGCCCTGCCTCCTGGCTGAGGGTGGCTGGGGTCATAGGGACAATCTGTCGGCAGGGGGAGGTGAGAGGGCCTCCACTCGCCGCTCACCTCCATCCATCCCACCTTCTCCCAGGACGGCGCGACTCCTCAGGCATCCGCTTGTACTACACAGACAAGCTGCGGCGCTTCAATGCGGGGATCATGGAGCTGGGACTGGTGTACACGCCAGTGATGGCTATTCCGCCGCGGGAGACTGCCTTCGTCCTCACTGGCTACTGCACAGACAAGTGTACCCAGTTGGTGAGTGGGGTTGGGCCCGGCACCACACCCTCTGTCTTCCCACGTCCCCCAGTGGAGGCCTGTCAGGTGGTGGCCCAGGAAGGGTGGCAGGCACAGCTTTGGTTCCCCTGACCCTGAATCCCTCGGCGGTTCTCGCTCTCTTCTATATGCAAGGGTGCCTTCCTGCTGAGAGGCCATTTGTGTGTGTGCACCTCCCTCTCCAGCAATAACCATGGCTCCCACTAGTCCACACCCACGTGCCAGGCTTCCACGCGCTGCATTTTAAAATATGCATTCATTATGTAAGCAACACACACGTGCACTTGCCACTCAAAAGCGCAGGCACTGCAGCTAAAGAGAATGTTCCCCTCATCCGCTGCCGCCTCTCCCTGAGATATCCACTTATTGGCTCTTTGTGTGCCTCCAGATCTTTCTCCTGTGTATTTCAGGAAGCCCTTGCAGGTGTTAGAAACCTTTTGAGTTTTTTTTAAAAAGTTGTATTGAATAGTTTACAAATTTTTCAACAAATGGAGGCATTTTTCTGGTGATTTGCCTTTTTATTGCTGCATAGTATTTCACAGGATGGGATTTTCACCATGTACCTGACCGGGGTAGGACTAGGTGAGGCAGTGAAGTGCCAGGTACAGGATCTCAGGGAGACTGTCAGGGAGACTGAGAAGCCTCAGTCTCCCCATCTGTGAAATGGGTACAACACGTACTTTGCAGGTCACTGTGAGAAGTAAAGCTACCTCACAGGAGGAAATGTTTGTAACATATACACAAACTATGAAATAACATCCGTCATATAAGAAGAACTCCTAGAAACCGACAGTAAGAAAAACAAACCACCTACTGGAAAAACCGAGCACAGGGATGAACAGAAAACAGGAACAAATGGCCAAGAGGGAGAGGAAGAGAACCTCAAGTCCACAAACAGAAAATTCAAGTTAAACAACACTGACATGTCTTCATGAGCTTGTCCTCAGGGCTGTGCATGCTGGGTGGAGGCACAGGTTGGCACTTAGACTCTGGTACCAACAGCAGGTCCTGTCCTTGGCTTCTGGCGAGATCAGGGAGTGACTACTAAAATCCCCTCCTCCTTGCCTTATCTTGGTCCAAGCCTGTGCTGAACCGTCTCCCTATCAATCAGTGTCTAGGCTGTTCTCAACTTTTCACCAATAGAAAGAAAGCTTCCCGGAAATCCTTGTCCATGCCGGAAACTGTTTTCCCATGTAGATTTCTAGACGTGAAATTGCTGCTCAGAAATCTGAGCGTTCCCTTGAATCAATCTTGCAAAATGCCTCTCAGAAAGCCCATCTGCTGCTTCCTCCCACACACAGGATGAGAGGGTGCCTGGTTTTACTGACCCATTGGATTTTTAATATTGTAAATATTTTCTGGCCTGGTGCAGTGGCTCACACCTGTAATCCCAGCACTTTGGGAGGCCAAGGCGGGCCAATCACGAGGTCAGGAGATCAAGATCATCCTGACTAACACGGTGAAACCCCGTCTCTACTAAAAATGCAAAAAATTAGCCATGCGTGGTGGTGGGTCCCTGTAGTCCCAGCTACTCGGGAGGCTGAGGCAGGAGAATGGCGTGAACCTGGGAGGCAGAGCTTGCAGTGAGCCGAACCGATATCACAGCATTGCACACCAGCCTAGGAGACAGTGAGACTCCGTCTCAAAAAAAAAAAAAAATATATATATATATATATACACACACACACATATATACAGACACACACACACATACACACACACACACATATTTGGGAGGAAGACATGTCAGTGTTGTTTAACTTGAATTTTCTGTTTGTGGACTTGAGGATCTCTTCCTCTCCCTCTTGGCCATTTGTTCCTATTTTCTATTCATCCCTGTGCTCGGTTTTTCCAGTAGGTGGTTTGTTTTTCTTACTGTCGGTTTCTAGGAGTTCTTATATGACGGATGTTATTTCATAGTTTGTGTATATGTTACAAACATTTCCTCCTGTGAGGTAGCTTTACTTCTCACAGTGACCTGCAAAGTAAGTGTTGATGTACCCATTTCACAGATGGGGAGACTGAGGCTTGCTGGGATCACACTGCCAGCAGTCACGCAGAGTGAAGATTCAAATACCGGTCTGTTTGACTTTGAAAGTTGTGGCCGTGACAGCAGATTGCATTGTAATGAGGTTTATAGTGGATTTTCCTTCCCAGTAAATGGGTCGATTGGGATCTGTTCTTCATGTGGGTGAGCCCCCAGAGCATTCTAGTCTTCCAAGCAAAGGTTCCTCGAGGCTGAAGGGAGACGGAGCTCTCGGCCAGCACGGTACCCATCGTCTCCGGCAGGAAATCAGCTCTTTTTGTCCCAGACGGGGGTGGACACTCTCTCCCACTTCCCTAAAGCCCCCACTGGTGAAGCGTGGGTCCATGTAAAAGGCACCTTGGCCAGGGCTCATGGGGAAGAGCGGCTTCCGGCCAGGCAGCACTCACTACCCCTTGCAGGGCCTTGGGGCCGTTGATCCCGCTGACCGCTGACCATGAGAACGTCTCTCTCCAGCCTCAGGAATGCAGACCCGCCTCCCCTTGCCAGAGTCCTCCACTACCTTAAGTGACAGAATGAGAATGATCAGTCTTGTCTCTCATTTAGCAGATAAAAGAGGGGCACAAATTCTGCAGCCAAAATCTGGCCTAGTCTAGATGTCCCAGTGAAATAGACAGGCCAAGACGAGAGTGCTGCTTTGGACCAGAGTGCCCAAAAGAGCATATCCTCCCTCTACCTGGCCGACACCCAGCATCTCTGGGCCAGGGTCGGCTTCTGGGGGCCAAAGGGTCACTGGGACCCTTTGGGCTCCCAGGCCTGGCACACAATGGCCCCTCAAGCCATTGCAAGGGACACAAAGCTATAGGCAATGGCAAGGTCAAGGGCGGCTGCTGCTTGGGAGTGAGAGAGAAGGAGCGAAAGTGAGTCGTAAAAAGCTTGGTCATCTGGGGCCTTCAGGGACGGGGCTGTCAGGACCTTGAGCTCTGGGACCTGCTGACCGTATGAATAAGCTGGGCAGAGCCTGGCAGTGGGTGGGCAAGAGGACAACTGACTCACTAAGAAAATGCTCGATTTCAGGAAACACGTTTTCTTTTCTTTTTTATTTTTATTATTTTTTTGTCGTCGTCGTTGTTTTGGGATGGAGTTTCACTCCTGTTGCCCAGGCTGGAGTGCAATGGCACCGTCTCAGCTTACTGCAACCTCTGCCTCCCGGGTTCAAGTGATTCTCCTTGTCAGCCTCCTGAGTAGCTGGGATTACAGGCATGTGCCACCATGCCCAGCCAATTTTTGTATTTTTTTTTTTTTTTTTTTTTTTTGAGACAGAGTCTCGCTCTGTCGCCCAGGCTGGAGTGCAGTGGCCGGATCTCAGCTCACTGCAAGCTCTGCCTCCCGGGTTCACGCCATTCTCCTGCCTCAGCCTCCTGAGTAGCTGGGACTACAGGCGCCCGCCACCTCGCCCGGCTAGTTTTTCGTATTTTTTTTAGTAGAGACGGGGTTTCACTGTGTTATTAGCCAGGATGGTCTCGATCTCTTGACCTCGTGATCTGCCCGTCTCGGCCTCCCAAAGTGTTGGGATTACAGGCTTGAGCCACCGCTCCCGGTCCAATTTTTGTATTTTTAGTAGAGGCAGGGTTTTACCATGTTGGTCAGGCTATTCTCAAACACCTTATCTCAAATGATCCATGTGCCTCAGCCTCCCAAAGTGCTGGGAGTACAGGCGTGAGCCACCATGCCCGGCATGGAAACACATTTTCTATCTAAAAAAAGTTAGCATTAGGTTGGAGAAAACTTTCATTCTCTGGAAGATTCTCTCAGGCCCCAGTGATGGCATGAGACCTCTTGGCGTGAGGGCTGCCATCTTTTCTGTGAGGCCGGCCTGTAGCCTCAGAGTGTCCAGCTGCAGCACCCCATGGTCACATCCATCTTGGTCCCGGATGACCACCTTCCAGTTGTAGCCACAGCTCCCAGCTGTAGCACGGGGCAATGATGAGCACGGGAGAACGCAGCCTTGGCTGCTTTGAAGCTGAAAGGAAGCCACACCACAGGGCAGCTGAAGGGCCTGCCCGGCCCAGCATGTAGGGGACCTGCCAAGTACCGCCTTCTGCCACTTGCTTTTCCCCAGACGGCAAGCCCTTGAGCACAGAGGCCATGCGCTGCTCAGCTTAGTGGCTTTGCCTCACACTGTCCACAAGGGGTTTGCCTTAAAGGCCTGTTGACTGAGTGAAGATGAACGTGTCAGGCTTCGAGGGCTCAGGAGAGGACGAAGGACTTGGAAAGAAAGTCGCTCCTGAGCGGGACTGGGGGCTGCTTCTTTGGGAGCCGGGGGCTGTTGCGGCCACCTCGCTCTTCCCCGTGAGGTTTCTGATGGTGGCTCTAACCTGGCCGGGGAGAAAGACCTGGAAAATGCAAGTGTCCAGGAAAGCAAACTGCCCAGGGTGGCTGCTCCCTGCTGGGTTCTGGCCATGGACGGGAGGGTCCCTTCGGAGGTCAGGCCCTGACGCTGCAGCCCCCCGACCCCACAGGCACTGCCTCCCTCCGGGATCCACATCTTCGCCTCTCAGCTCCACACACACCTGACTGGGAGAAAGGTGGTCACGGTGCTGGCCCGGGACGGCCGGGAGTGGGAGATCGTGAATCAGGACAATCACTATAGCCCTCACTTCCAGGTAGGAGCCTGTGCCCCGCCCCCGCCCCGCCCCCACGCCCCGCCCCCACGCCCCGCCCCCACGCCCCGCCCCCACGCCCCGCCCCCACGCCCCGCCCCCACGCCCCGCCCCCACGCCCCGCCCCCACGCCCCGCCCCCACGCCCCGCCCCCACGCCCCGCCCCCACGCGACCTGCTGAACCTACTGTCTCCTGATACCATAGGGATGGCCCCAGGCTGGCTTCTTTCTCCTGGGCCAGCCCCCCACCATGTGGCCTGTGCTCCCTGCTTGGGTGTCTGATTGTAGAGAGGGCCTCTGGCACATGGCAGATGGTGGTGGGATTCGGGAGACCCTAGCAGCCCTCTGGTCACATCCGTCTTGGTCTTGGATAACCACCTTCTGGTTTGAATCTAACGCCCTCCCTGGCCAGAAGCCACACTTAGCCGGCCCTGGCTTCCACTGTAGAGGCTGGGGCAAAACGGACACCCCCAGAGATCAGGGAGGCCTGAGGGAGGACACAGTGGCCGGGGGTCTGGTCTGCAGCTCTCTGAGATCTCCTCTCCCCCAACCCCTCGGCTCTGCTTGCCCCAGGAGATCCGCATGTTGAAGAAGATGGTGTCGGTCCATCGGGTGAGTGCCCAGCAGGAAGGCAGTCCCAGTCGCCGCCACCAGCTGGGATGGCTGGGAGGGCTGGGGGTGCCACCAGACGGAGAGGGACAGAGAAAGTGATGGGGGGAGGGGAGAGCCGTCCAGGGCAGGGGGAGGGTGCCTGTGGGTGGCTCAGGGTTGGGTTGCCTCATGAGGAGACTCACTTGGGAGTTCATGGAGGGACATCGGAAGTGGGGGAGCAGACAGGACACTCCCAGGGGACGTGTATCCTCAGCCTGACGGGCCGACCACAAACCCGAGAGCATTTGGAGGAGATGAGGGCACTAAGGCAGGCAGTGGAGCCCTGATCCCACAGGAGGCCAAGCTCAGGCCTCAGTGGGGACTTGCCCAAGTTCCTTGAGATGTGTCATGACCCACCCGCCTGCACCCCCACTGGCCTGGACCCTGTTGTGACCCACTGGGTCACAGGAGCTGATGGTTTATAACTTCCCGGGGACACTCAGCCTGTGACCTTTGCGCATGAATCTGCTGGGCTCCTTGTAGTGGATGACAGGGACTGTACCCCAGAGGTGCCGTGGCCCACACAGTGGCATGGTCCCATGGGGGCGGGGCCTCGCGTGCCTGCCAACGCCAGGTCATGTTGGCTTTTCCTCAGGGAGATGTGCTCATCACGTCCTGCACGTACAACACGGAAGACCGGGAGCTGGCCACAGTGGTAAGTCACCCCTGCTTCCCCTTTCACCTGCCCAGGGAGAGTGTTTCAGCCTGGGCTGTCTGAGGAAGGAGGACAGGTCTTGACTCCTCACTTAGGACATGGGCTCATCCCCTCAATAAGCCAGTCGTTCTCAGCACCTGCTCCCTGAACCCGCAGTGGCAGCATCACCAGGGAGCTTGGGATAAATGCAACCTGCTGGGTACCACCCCAGGCCCACTGAGTCAGAGACATGGGCGGTGGCACTGGGAAATCCATGTTTTAACAAGCTCCCAGGGGATGTTGACCCCTGCTCAAGGTTGAGAAGCACTCACACCAAGAAACTTCTCAGCACCCGGGGCTGGTGTGGGGAGAAGCTGTAGGACAAGAGGTTGACCTCTGCCCCGTGGAGCTCCAGGTGCACCAGGGAGACGGGCCTGGAGCACCTGCCGCTAACAACAAGCAAAATTATAAAAAAGAAACTTTCAAAACCAGGTTGAGGAGCCAGAGGTGCAGGGACCTGGGAGGGCCTCGTCAGAGATGTGGCTGTCACATGGAGCCCAGGGGAGAGGGGAGGAGGTGGAGGAAGGCTCCATGCAGGGGCTGTGTGTGGGAAGGCCCAGAGGACCAAGAACATTCTCAGGATGGAAAGGAGAGGAGGAGAGGGTGGAGACATGGGGAGGGGTCAGGCACTGTGAGCGTCAGCTGAGGATGCATTTTGGCTGGACTGCAGACAGTTCAAGGAGAATCTGCACTGGGGAGATCTGTTTTGAAGGCTGGGTGTGCAGGCAGCACCAGGACATGGGCAGCCACGTGATGCACCACGCAGCAGGGCTGGTTCCGTGACCCAAAGGGGGTGCTGTTCACAATTACCTGGGTCCCGGGCACAAACCAGGGCTGTCCTGGCACACGGGCTGCCCTGCCAGTGGATCCATGCCAGCTGCCTCGGTATCCATGGTGGGCTCCAATAATTATCCTGTGAATGGTGTGGCTCAGAGTGCAGCAGACCTGGGTTACAGCTACCCGGACACCCCTCAGTGCCAGGAACTCGGGTCCATGTCACAGCCCTATTCTTTGTGTTTTAATCCAATGTGGATTCACCTGATATTTACTGAGCCCAGACTGCCATGGTTTTCTTCTTTTTATTTTTATTTTTTCTGAGACAGAGTCTCGCTCTGTCGCCCAGGCTGGAGTGCAGTGGCACGATCTCAGCTCACTGCACCCTCCACCTCCCTGCAACCTCCACCTCCCGGGTTCAAGCGATTCTCCTGCCTCAGCCTCCCAAATAGCTGGGACTACACGCCACCACACCCGGCTAATTTTTGTATTTTTAGTAGAGACGGATTTTCACCATGTTGGCCAGGCTGGTCTCGAACTCCTGACCTTGTGATCCACCGCCCCCCCTCGGCCTCCCAAAGTGCTGGGATTACAGGTGTGCGCCACCGTGTCCGGCCTATTTATGTTTCTTTGTAAACAGCTTTACTGAGATGTAATTCACATGCCATACCATTCACTCATTTAAAGTGTACAATTGTATGGTTTTTTGTAAATTCACAGATCCATGCAACCCATCGTCGTGGTAAATTTTAGAACATTTTCATCACCCCCAAAGGAAACCCCATATCCCTTAAGCAGCCGGTCCTCATTCCCGTCCCCGCTCAGCCTGGCAACTGATCTATTTTCTGTCTCTGTGGACTTTCCTATTCTGGTCACTTCATGTGAATAGAGCCACACAATACGTGGCCTTTCGTGTCTGGCTTTTTTCATAGCATGATGACTTCGAGGTTTCTCCATGTTTTAGCGTGGGTCAGTACCTCATTCCTTTTCACGGATGAGTAACATCCCATTGTATGGAGGGACCACGGTTTGAGTCTCCATTCATCCACTGATGGGCATCTGCGTGGTCTCTGCCTCTCATTTAGTTTTCACACCAGTCTGCAAGGTAGGAGTGTTTGTATTTCTCATATATATATATAATGTATGTATGTACGTATATATATTTTGAGACGGAGTCTCGCTCTGTTGCCCAGGCTGGCATGCAGTGGTGCGATCTCAGCTCACTGCAACCTCCGCCTCCCAGGTTCAAGTGATTCTCTGCCTCAGCCTCCCAAGTAGCTGGGATTATAGGCGCGCACCACCACACCCAGCTAATTTTTGTATTTTTAGTAGAGACGGGGTTTCACCCTGTTGGCCAGGCTGGTCTTGAGCTCCTCATGTAATCCCTCATGCTGGGATTACAGGCATGAGTCACAGCACCCAGCCAGTGTTTGTATTTTCACAGGTGAGACATAAAGGCTCAGAGAGGGCAGGCACTTGACCAAAGTCACACAGCTGATAGATGGCTGAGCTGGGATTTGACCCAGGGCCTTGTGCCTCACGGTTCTTACCACACCCTTCCTGTCTCCCTTGGATTTCAGGTGACAATCGCCCTAGGTCCCTGATCACAGATTCAGGGTTGGGGGGTGGGAGAGCTTTGCCAGTCCTTTATTCTCTCTAGAGGAGGCGCTCAGTATATCACGGCAGTGGCTGATGTCGGGCCCTGGCCACAGCTCAGCACTGCTCTAATAACTCATCCTAACCACACCAAGCCTTGCTGAGACCTCTGAGCAGATCCCACCAGGAGACACAGTGAGGTCCAGCCACTCAGGCCACACAGCGAACAGGAGGCAGGGCTGGTATGGGGGCAGGTGCTAACCCCAACTGTGCCACCTCTCGGCTGAGCACCTGTGCAGTGACTGAGTGAGCTCGCAGACACAGGGCTGTGCAAGTGGAGCACCCCAGGCAGGACCCCAGCATCGCCCCATTCTGCAGGCACAGCGCCAGGGTCAGGGACGGGAGGGTCCTGCTGGGTATCCAGCCAGGAGACTGCATATTCCCTGCCCAACCTGGCTTCATGGCGGCAGAACCGATGCCACGTCCCCGGGCATTTAGGGCTGCCAGCCCTGGTGAGCACCACTGACATCTCAGATGCCCGTTCTTCAGGTCGAGGCCCTCGGTGCCAGTGTCCCAGCGGGCAGTTCTGTGGCGTCCCTGGCCCATGCCCTCCTCTTGGCGGTGGCTACATCACAGCACCAGGCGGGATCAAAGGGGAGGGCAGCTTCCCAGGTGGATCTGAGCTTCTCATGCTCTGACAGCTCCTCACCTGCTGATCCAAGAGACAGCGGCCTTTGAAATTCGATTTCCTTCCCCAGGTGAAAGAGGAGAACAGATCCTGCACAGGGTTGGACTCAGTTCCCTTTTGATGTCTGCGGCGGCGGAGGGTGGGGAGGGACGGGAACTCACACAGGAGGCCTATCTGCCCAATCTGACGCGGGCGGGATGGATGAGAAAAGCTGGTAAAGGAGGATTCCGGCCCAGAGAACAATGCTGGCAAAGCCCCGTCCTGGCCAACAGGCGCCAGGTTTGGTCTCTGGGCAGAACTGCCCCATGCTCTTTGTCTGCATGGGAGGAGGGGGCGGCAGCTGGTGTAAGCGCCACACCGAGCTTTTCCCAGTCCCTTTGTTCTACCATAGAGCGACGATTGCCTTTCTTCCCCACTAGCCAGATGAAATCCCCAGGCCCACAGCAGCTTCACAAACAGCGGGGAGCCTGGACGAGCAAGGGTGGCCAGGGCGTCATGTCCTGGCCCCTGACCTGCTGGGAACTGAGCTGCTGCCGGGGGAGCTTTGCTCTCTCCAGCCCCAGCTCATCCAAGCTGCCAGCGTTCTTCTTCCTCCCATGGCTAAGACTCCATGGTCACCAGCTCCAAGAGTAGCAACCCAGCTAGGGGCTTAAAGCTGGCAGTGGGGACTCAGAGGGTGCCTGCCCTGCCCCTCCCATGCGATGGCAGGCCGTAGGGTTGCCCTGAGAGGCTGGAGGTTGTTGCGACCTCTAGTCACGGTCCTGTCTTCCAGAGTCCCTGCTCCCTTCAGAGCTGCATTCAAGAAATGACTGGTGGACGGCGTGGGGCTGCAGTGGAAAGGGCCTCCCTTGCAGTGCTTGGCTCCAGGCTCTCGCTGGAGGTCATGGGGACAGCTTCCAGACAACGGCCGGGAGGCTGGGTCCACTCAGGCTGTGCCACCAATGCTGTGGCCACCATGGGGCGTCCCCTTGCCTGCTCTGAGACTCAGTTTCTGTACCCATAAAATGGGCACAGTAACACCCCATCTGCTTGTCCCGTTTCATTTTTCTTCACAGCATCATCGGCACCTGAGAGGAATGTCCTGGTTAACTCACTCGCTGCCTGTTTCTCCTGCCAATGGTGGCAATTCCGTGAGGGCAGGGACTTAGTTCCCCAAAGCATGCCTGACATGGTGCAGTGAACAGACAAGTGGACGCAGTGAACACGTGGATGGGGCGAAAGCTGCTGGACGGCAACGTCTGTGTGGCACGGCCCAGGGCTGACGGGTCTTCTCCAACTTGCAGGGCGGCTTTGGGATCCTGGAGGAGATGTGTGTCAACTATGTGCACTACTACCCCCAGACGCAGCTGGAGCTCTGCAAGAGTGCTGTGAACGCTGGCTTCCTGCAGAAGTACTTCCACCTTATCAACAGGTGAGGGCTCCCTGCACAAGCTCCCTGCCCCCAGGGAGCCCTGACACAGAACCTCTGGGCCTGTCAGGCAGCTGGGCAGATTGGAGGAGTCCAGGCTAAGTTCTAGGAGCCTGTGGCGGCATCACTCACCCCTCCCCTCACTCATTTCCTACTGAGTCTGGATTTGGCTTGAGAGCCTCCTCAACCCAGCTCGGAGCACCCACCCGCCAAGGTGCCGGGAGAGGTGAAGCCGTTGCTGGTGAAGGCAGTATCTGGGACGGCCTGGTGGAGGCAGCGGGGCTGGGGAGGAGGCGGCAGGAGGGTCTCCCCAGGGACAGGACTTGACCTGCAGGGAGGTGTCGCTGGTGCCCACTGGGGTCCTTGCCCATCGGCTGCTCCCCAGCCTGGCTGTTTCTTGTCCCCACCAGGTTCAACAATGAGGAGGTCTGCACCTGCCCTCAGGCGTCCGTGTCTCAGCAGTTCGCCTCTGTTCCCTGGAACTCCTTCAACCGCGAAGTACTGAAGGCCCTGTACGCCTTCGCGCCCATCTCCATGCACTGCAACAAGTCCTCAGCTGTCCGCTTCCCGGTGCGCTGCCACGGGTGTGGGTGGGGCATGCAGTCGGGCAGGCCTCATGGGGGATCCCAGTGAGGGGTGATGGGCCTGCACTCCAAACTGCTGGCAAAAGCACTCGCACAAGATAATTAGAGCAAGTGCCAGGTGGTGACACACAGGCCTAGACAGCCAGCCAGCAGAGAGAGGAGAGAGAGAGACAGAGAGGCCAGGAAGGGAGGGCAGCCACCCTTTCCGGGTGATACCTCCACACCGGTGCCAAATGCCAGTGGTGTGAGCAGGGCGCGCTAACCTGCCCCCTGCACCTTTACATAAAGCGCTGGGGAGGGGAAGGTGAGAAACGAACCAGTCTGCAGCTGCGAGCTGGTTTTTTTCTTCTTGTCTGAGACCCACTGGCATTCGAAGGCATCTAATGTAGCCCGAGCCCAGCGGGCTGCGGTCAGGAGCCCAGGGCCTATGCGGAGTTAGTCGCCTACGGTGCCGCAGCCTGGAGATCCAGGAAGATGCTTCCCGGAAGCATGTGGCAGCTGGATTAATTGCTAAGTCAAACGTCCTCAGCACCAAGGGAAGGAAGGGCTAATACTGGCTTCCTGAGAACAGTCTGGGGCAGACGTCTGATGGGGTTGAAAACTTGGCACTTGATGCAGCCTTGAGGGAAAGAGATGGTTAAAAAATATCAGAGCCTGCAGCCAGGGGCTCTGGTTGCTACATTAGGGTGAATGATTCAATTGGGTGCGGACGGAGGCAGGGAGAGGCCTGGATGACTCCCAGGTTCCTGACTAGGTGAATGGGAAGCCAGGGGAGGGGGCATTTACTGAGGTGAGGACCCCCAAAAAGCAACTTGGGGGAGAAGAGTGAGTTCAGTTTGGGACAAGCTGAGTTTGAGGGCAAGAACCCAAGAGGTGGCTGGGAAGTGGCTGGGGAAGCAGCCACCCATCTTGCCCCTCCAGCCTCAGTTTACCTCCTACTCCCTTCCTTGCAGGGTGAATGGAACCTGCAGCCCCTGCCCAAGGTCATCTCCACGCTGGAAGAACCCACCCCACATTGCCCCACCAGCCAGGGCCGAAGCCCTGCCGGCCCCACCATTATCAGCATTGGTGGGGGCAAAGGCTGAGGGGGGCCTGCTCCTCCGTGCTGTCCCTGTGGGCTCACACCGGCACTGTGCACCCTACTCTGCGAGGATCCCCATGGAACAGCCCTGCATGCCCAAGATGAAGGGGCCAGACCATGCCCCTGCCTGAGACCTTGGTCCAATCCAGCCTTCTTCCCCCAGGGTCCCCTGCATGGCTGAGAGGGTGTGGGTGCCCTGTTGACCTACCCCGGACCGAGTGGGCCACGACCTCGTCCATTTAAACCGGCTTACTCAGTGCAGGGACAGCCTGCACAGTGGTCCAGGTTCCAGCCCTCCGCCAGCCCTGTTTCGCCTCACGGGGTGTGGCCAGGCTCCTGGGACATGCGCCATGCTGGACCGGGGTGCAGAATCACCCCGAACGCCCCCGCCCCCCGCCCCGCTGCTCCCGCAGAAAGTGATCGGTGTCGGTGTGCGGCGGGTGCGGGTGCTGCTTCAACATTTCACTGCGGAGTGGCTAGTGTTTCACCGTGGGCGGCTTCCCTGCGACGGAGGCAGGACCAGGCACTTAGCTAGTTAGAGACTCGCTTGGGAAATTGCTCCATTGCCGAGTAAATAGATATTTTCGCCCACCTAAAGGGAAGCCCTGACAACAGCTATCACCGAAAGGCGAGGCGGCGGGGATCCAGCGGGGCTTCTGGGCGCCGCTTCCACGGGGGGGCGGAGTTATTAGCACCAGCTTGCTTCTCTGGAGGCGGGGCCGGCGCTGAACAGACCGGGGTAGAGTCAGGGCTGTGCTTCCCTTGTGGTTCTGCCACTCGGTGGGGAGTGCCTTGGGTGGGCCATTGCACGTTCCTGACCCTCACTTTTCTCATCTGTAAAACGGGGCTGAGGCCGTGCGGGCTAATGAGCCAATAAAGCTCACACTTGGGCTAGCACCCACTGGAGGTGGATATGTTTGCACTCCGGACCGTCACTCCAGGAGAGAGAAGCTTGCTCCGAGCCTCCTCCCTGTGCCAGGTGTGCTTCCCCCCTGAGCGTCCTGAAGCTGCCTCAGCCGGCCTGGGTGGGTCTCCCCTTCCTGCCCTCTGAGCTGCCTCTCAGGGACAAGTTCAGCTCTTTGATGGTTTGGGAGAGAGTAACAGATGCCCCGGTGTTCAGCCAGTTCAGCAAAACGCCGCCAGCCTCCTGGGGAGAGAGGGAGATGGATGGGCCTCGGAGTCCCCCCGCATCAGCTAAGCGGCTGCGTCTTCTTCGAGGCACTTCATCACAGAAGGGAACTCACGGGCCCAGGAGCTCTGCCTCGTGTTGTATAAATCACAGCTTCTTGCGGCCCATAAGTCACAGGGCGCTGGCGCTGTGACATGCCAGGCCCCAGCCTGGAGAGCCGCTCCAGCCCTCTGTCATCTTTACAGCCTGGGTGACAGAAGGCAGGGAGCAGGCCCAAGAAGCCCCTTCCCGTTGATCATACCCAATCGTCAGCCCAGAGAAGGGTCCGAGGGTCCTGCCCAACCCCCCCGGGGGGCACCTGCAGCCTGCCAGTCTCGGGCAGGGAAACTGAGACTCCCAGATAAAGACCTCACCTGGAGCCCAAGAGCAACAGTGATTGGGAATCCCAGCCAGCTCTGGAACCTGCCACAGCGACAACCCCACCCCCCCCCACCCCCCCACCCCTGCGCACTCTCTTGCTCTCAGACTGGTTATCCTCTTCCTCTTGTGGAGACAGCAGCTGTGTCCCCCAACCCCGCTCCAGCAGCACCCACACCTCCCACAGCCAGATGAGTGTGACCCCGTGGTCGCTGAGTGCTGCCACTTGCCCCACACTTAGGCTATGCACAGCCCTAGCAATCCTGTGAAGCCATGTCGTTTCTGCTTTCATTGATGGAGGAGGAAGCTGAGGCTCGGAGACCTAAAGTTAGGTGCCAAGGTCACCCAGAGTAAGCCCGGGAGCCCAGAGTGTCCCCACGTCTGACTCCAGTGTCTGAATGCTCAACCTCTGTTTCCTTACCTATGAAACAGGAATTTCCCCAGGACCCTTGTGGGGGATTTTATCTAAAATAAGGTCCTTATTTGGAGGCTTAGGGGAAGTGCTTTATTACCTGAAAATGACCTACATGCTCCAAGCCAAAGGGACTCTCTGGGCTCACCCACCTTCTGAATTATTGTGGTGAGTCCAGCAGCCCAAGTTGCTACTCTTACCCCTGCTGTGTGACCCTGAGTTAGTTACTTTCCCTCTCTGGGCTTGGTTCTCCCTATCTGTCCACTGAGGAAAGGGTTTCCCAGCCTCCCAGGGGATGGGGGCTGCTAAGGTGGCACAACCCACCACTCTGAGGTGCTCAGAGCCCTGGGGTGAGGAATACTCATGCCCATCGGTGTTGAGACATGGGGTGGCCCTGGACTCCAGGCTCCAGCCAGCATAGGGGTGCCTGCCCGAGTGGGTCCCAGAGCGCTCCAGGGCTGTCTGTGCTGTCTAGTGGCTGCTAGTCTCATGTGGCTACTCGTGATTAATTTTAAATTAATTGAAATGATACAAGGTCGGGTGCTGTAATCCTAGCACTTTGGAAGGCTGAGACAGGAAGATCATTTGAGCCCAGGAGTTCAAGACCAGCCTGGGCAACATAGTGAAACCCTGTCTCTACAAAAATTACAAAAATTAGAGCTGGGCACAGTGACTCACGCCTATAATCCCAGCATTTTGGGAGACTGAGGCGGGCGGATCACCTGAGGTCAGTAGTTCGAGACCAGCCTGGCCAATATGGCGAAATCCCGTCTCTACTAAAAATACAAAAATTAGCCAGGCTGTGGTGGTACTCGTCAGTAATTCTAGCCAGCTGGGAGGCTGAGGTGGGAGAATCCCTTGAACCTGGGAGGCAGAGGTTGTAGTGAGCCGAGATCATACCACTGTGATACGAGATGGAACCTTCTGTGTTCCGTTCACACCCCCCACTTTTCACATGGCCCAAGGCTGTTTCACTGCCCAGTGCAGTATAGAGCTCTGGTGGTGACAATGTAGCCCCGCCCCGCCCTTCCCCTCCCCCCTCCTCTCCTCCCCTCCTCCCCCTCCCCCCTCCTCTCCTCCCCCTCCTCCCCCTCCCCCCTCCTCTCCCCTCCCTCCTCCCCCTCCTCTCCCCTCCCTTCCCCCTCCTCTCCCCTCCCTTCCCCCTCCTCTCCCCTCCTCCCCCTCCCTCCCCTCCTCCCCCTCTCCCTCCCCCCTCCCTCCCCTCTCCTCCCCCTCCTCCCCTCTCCTCCCCCTCCCTCCCCCTCCTCCCCCTCCTCCCCTCCTCCCTCCTCCCCCTCCTCCCCTCCTCCCCCTCCTCCCCCTCCTCCCCTCTCCTCCCCTCCTCCCCCTCCTCCCCCTCCCCCTCCTCCCCTCCCCTCCCCCCCTCCCTCCCCCCCTCCCCCCTCCCCTCCCTCCCCCTCCCCCTCCCCCCCCCTCCCCCTCCTCCCCTCCCCCCCTCTCCCCTCCTCCCCCCTCCCTCCCTTCCCCCCCTCCCTCCTTCCCCCCTCCTCTCCCCTCCCTCCCCTTCTTTGAGACAGAATTTCACTCTTGTTGCCCAGGCTGGAGTGCAGTGGCGCAATCTTGGCTCACCGCAACCGCTGCCTCCTGGGTTCAAGCGATTCTCCTGCCTCAGCCTCCCGAGCAGCTGGGATTACAGGCATGTGCCACAATGCCCAGCTAATTTTGTGTTTTTAGTAGAGACTGGGTTTCACCATGTTGGTCAGGCTGGCCTCAAACTCCCGACCTCAGGTGATCCACCTGCCTTGGCCTCCCAAAGTGCTGGGATTACAAGCGTGTGCCACCGCACCCAGCCAGTGTAGGCACTTTCAAAACAGTTTCCTCGGAATTCCTGAGAGGCAGTACCCAGCCACAGTGAGCGTCATGGTATCAATATTTCCGGAAAAAATTTTTAAAAACAGCTATGAAACGGTGTTTTTAGAGTCGAAGTCTGGAAGACCTGACTCGGGGTCCGGGGAGGTGGGTCCTGCGATGTGGACCCTGGGTGGTGCACTTGGGAGCCATGGCAGGGCCGGGATCTCTTGCAGCCCAGGGATGGAGCCCGCAGGTGGTGAGCTCGGGAGGCGAGTCGTGGAGGCTGCGCTCACATCAATGCCCAGTGCCCTCCCGGAGGGGCCAGGTTCTGTCTCCACGGGGGCGGGGGAAGCACACAGGGTACAGGGAGGGGGGCTGAGTTCTCTTTCCTTGGGACAGGGTGGTGCCGTCGCATGCGTTCCCCAGCTGCAGCCACGAGAAACAATTTGGAGCGGAACCTGGGCTCTGACCTCCCCTCATCCTCAGCCTTCCCCCAAGGACAGGCCGTGAGATGAATGTGGTCACCGGCCCAATCCAGGGGTCTGTGGCCAAACCGCAGACCCGGAGGAAGCAGGCCAGGCCATCTGGGGAGCCGGCTCCCCTCCTCTCCTCCTCTGGCTCCCACAAAGCTGTCTCATCCAGGAGCCAGGCCCGCCTGTGAGCGAGGGGAGGCTGCAGGTGTCCCTTCTGCCTGAAGCGTGTGAAAGCCAGAGGCCCCCACCCCACTCTCCAGCCGCATCCCCCTCCCCAGACTCAGGAGGCCAAACCCGCCTTTCACAGCCATCTGTAACCCAAACGTCTGCCTGCAGCTTTGTTGAGCTCAGTCCACAGTGGGCCGTGTGGCCTGGGAGCATCCAAAGGCAGCTGGGGCCTGCCAGGACTGCTGCCCCCAGATCGCCACTTGCTGTGTGTGTGGCTCTGTGGGGCCCCAGCTCCATGATATCCCCAAGCATCTGCCACCCGCTCTTCCCAGATTTCAGGGCACACCTGGCAAGACTGCGCAGTGCCACTCTGACGGGCCTGATCTGAACCTGGGCTCAGGGGCATGAGGGAGAGGACTGAGCATGTGGGATGGACAGAGATGGACACCCCTCCCGGGCAGGAGAGGCAGAGCTGCTTCTGACACACAGGCAGTTATCGGGGGGAAGAGAAAGCAGGCAGCGGAGCCACCCCATCTCAAGGCAGTGTGCGGGGCAGAGCCTAAGACAGGGTCCTCCTGCAAGGGCCGGACAAGGAGGCAGGCACGGGCAGGAAATGCGTTCAAATCAACAGCAAAGACAAAAGTCACCTAGAAAGGGGGACTCCACCAGACTCTTACCCAGCAGCATGCCCCTCCTGCCTGAGCCTGGTGAGCAAGGGGCTCAAGGGGAAACTGAGGAAGGAGCTTGCACCTCTGTGTGGCTGAGGAGGGCACCCATCTGAGGCCCCGCCCACTCCCTGCTTTGGCTCCTCTGTTCCCGGGCTGCTGATTCTCAGGAGGCTTTGCCACCTGAAGAACCAGGAGGTCGAGCAAGGGAAGAAGAGCTTTCCAGCTCCCGTGCTGACCTGAGATCTGAGAGGCACCATCCTGCAGAATGGCCTTGGTCCCAGGCCTCCATGTGCACTGTGGCAGACAGTGCCAGCCGATCACCGCTCTTTCCTGACCCAGACACAGCCTCATGCTCTTCAGCCAAGTGCCCCAGGGAAGCCCACCACCAATCGGTCAAGCTTGGGGTAAAAGACGAAGCCTATTTGCTTCCCTGTATTCACGTGGGGCTTATCAAGTATTTACTAAGCACCTTCTAGAAACTTGGAGATAACTACAAGCCGTGGTCCCTGAGCCCAAGACACTTACAGGCTTGTTTTCTGGGAGGATTGGGGCGGATTAGAGACCGCCTTCTGGTCAGTGACCACACGATGGGCCATCTTGGTCTCTGTCCGTATCTGGTTTGGGGGTTTTAGCAGGACTAGGCCTAGACTAAGGACAGGGAGGGCCCAAGTTCTGGCCGGGTCCAGGGTCCTGGGATCCAGGGCCATTTGGGACCTGTGGGAATGGACGGACAGCATGTGATGGGGCATGGGGTCTGTGCCCTCAGTATGTTCCCTTCACCCTCTTGTTGTCGGGGTCGAAGGGAGACTTCAGGTGGGCCCGGGCACCGTAGGTCACCCCCATTCTCTCCAGGGCATAGTCCCCGCTCTTCACAAAGTCCAGCGAGACCTAGGAGCAGAGGTGGGGATGAGGGTCACTATCTGTTGGTAGGTGCGGGGCTCAGGCCTGCCTGTTTCTCTGGAGGAGGGGGTCTTGGTCTTGCTGCCTGCCCTGTGGGCAAACTCATCCCTGTGCCAGGGCCTCCTTCCCGAACCCAGGCATCGCCCCAGAGCAGGTGGAGTTCGTGTCCATGTGATCTCGAGTTGGACACGGGCATCTGGGGTCTGGCAAAGCCAAGGTCTGGCAGCCAGTACGACTTCCACAGGACAACACACCTCCAGCCCCAGCGATTCCAGATGCCTGGGAAACAGCAGAAACACGGTGGTTTCCCCGGAGCCGGGCCGGAGCAGCGCCGAGGCTGGCGGCCAATCCGGCTCAAATCCCTCTGGGCAGGGGCGGCTGGAACAGCCTTCTAGACAGCTTGGCCTCTACGTGCTCCCCATCCCACGCCCTGGCTTGGCCTCCCCAGCAAGCCCTCGGGAACTAGTCAGCCCCAGGTGCAGGTGCTCTTAGGGCAGGAGGAGGGCGTCACCTCCAGCCTGGTGCAGCTGGTGACGCTGGGCACTTTTGCCACGGCTGCTATGAGGAGGGCAGGCCGGGCCAGTCAGGGAAGCTGTTCTCCCATTATAGCAATTAAACCCAAGGCCAGGGCCACAGGAGGCAGTCTCAGGTTCTACTCTGGGAGTCAGAGGGCTCCTTCTTGTTCCTGGCAGCTCAGGACTGGATGAAATAAAATAGAAAAACAAATCAAGCTTTTTCTGTGACAGGAGCTTTAGGAGTGGCGCTTCTGAGCCATGTGTGCACCTGCAGGGCTGCGAGTTCTGAGCTGTCCCCCGCAGGAAGGCAGCATGGAGAGCTGGTGGACTTCAGATGTCCCCAGGCAGGCACAACTCAAAGCGGGCACCTGGCCTTGCTAACAAATACCCACCAGGCAGAAACTCCTTCCTCATCTCAGAGCCTTTCCCTTTAATGACCAGGTTTCCCTATCTTAGGAAGACACCTCTACTACCCCACTTGGGTGCTAGAAAATGTTTAACAACAGCTTTGGAGTAAGGCGGGTGTGACTGTAGCGTTTGCCCATTTCCATGGTGCAAATGCTCTGGACAGCCCTGATGGAGGGGCACGAGACGTGCACCAGCAGCTCTGGGTGCATCGACTGGTTCCCCGGCTGCCTGTCTGGATGCCATTGAACCTCAGCTTCCCTGGTCACGTTGGTTATGGACCCATCCCTGACTCTGGAGAAAGGCGAGCATTACTGTTCTTTGAAGAAATGGCAACGGAGCCTCCCCTCCCCAGCCCACCCTGGCATGGAACCCATAAACTCTGGTTTGCCTGGGCCCCAGGGCTGTGGCCCCCGGGACCATGGCCCCAGGGCTGTGTCAGGAGGCCCTGCCCACGGTGGGAGCCACGCCATCACAATCCCTGCTTATTAAGATCCCACTCTGGGCAGTGGCCTGTATGACGGCCCTGCATGGTAGGTGAGTGTCCACGTTTTATAAATGAGGAAACCGAGGCTCTAAGAGAGGATCCTTGTCCAAGGTCACAAAGCAAGTAAAAGGCAGATCCCAAAGCCTGGTGGCATCAAGTGTGTTCTGAGCCTCCCAGCTCCACCGCCAGACTCAGCCCCATGGGCTGCCACTTCCCCACAGCTCCACAGGACCATGGCCTTGCCTGAGGCCTGGCGGTGTCCCCTCCCCCTTGGGCCTTCGAGCTGGGCCTGCGCATGTTCTGCAGCTCTTGCTAAGATTGCTCTGTCTCCAGCCTACCCCTCCTTGTGGCTTCTCCCAAGCGCTCCCTCCCTCCCCGATTCCCTCTATGTGCCCAGCAGGGACTCAGGCTGGAAGGTTCTGGAGTCAGGCCAGCACCTCCCGGCCTCACTTAGGGCTTGGGCCAAATGTCAGATCTGCTCCCATGGAGAGATGTGACCCTCCTCACTGGCACCTCTACATGTGGCACCAGAAAGATGGGAAAAGGAGGTGGAGGTACAGACCACCCCTTCCCCTTCTGGGGAGGCTGCCCACCCCCTGCCCCACCACCCCTGGCCACCCAGAGCTGTCCTGGGACTTGCTTCTGGGGGCAGTACCTGCTCTTTCCAGCCTGCTCCTGCCTCCTGCAGAGCCAGGGACCAGGGTCACCTGGTGAGTGTGGGGTTCCCTGAGGTCAGGGGTGTCTGGAGTGAGGAAAGAGAGGAGGATAGAAACATGGGTCGCTGCGTCTGAGTCTCTGGTTGGTCACCCTGGGGCCACCCCTGCACCCCAGGCAAAGGGTGGCCCGTGGGCAGCTTGAGGTTTGGGTCTCTGGTGTCAGGAGCCGGAAGGTATCAGCCTGGCTGGCTGGCACCTCCTTCTAACCAAAAAAAGCCTGGAAGTCAGATTCTTCCAGAAAGAAAACAGAGAGCAGCTTTGGCTCTGCCCAGGCACAGCTGGGGAGTCCTCCACCTGCTGAGGCCTATTCCTCTCCCTTCTCCTTCCCCCTCCTCCCTCTCCCTCCTCCTTCTTCCTCCCTCCCCTTTTTCCTTCCCCCTCCTTCTCCTTCCTTCCTCCCCCTCTTCCCTCCTCCCTCCTTCTTCCTCCTCTCCCTCCTCCCTCCTTTCTCTTCCCTCCTCCTCCCCTGGACCCCACCCGTCCTCCTCCCTGTGCCCGGCACACTCAGGGTGCAGTGCAGGGTGCTGGTTTGGAGCTGGGGAGGAATCAGCATTTGCCTCAGCAGGGCCAGAGAAGGCGACTCACCGGCCCACCACTGGGGTCATGGATGTAACCGTAGGCGATGGTCTTGTCGATGGCGAACCCAAAGTCGGCCCTCCGGACGTGGCCCACCACTTGGCCATTCCTCCAGATGGCCTCCAGGCCAAACATGGGTACTTTGCTGGAAGAAGCAGTAGAGAAAGCTGGGGCCCCAGAAACCACAGGGTGGGGACGCATCCACAGAGGCCTGGAGGAGAATGGGGGGCTGCATGGTGCCCACCCAACCATGGCTCCACACAGATAGGGCTGGCCTACTAGGACCTCACTGGTCCCCAGAGCCAGCCCAGCACCTGGCCTGGACACCACGGCTCAGGCTTCAAGTGAGTAAAAGGGATGAGTGGAAAACAACGAAACCAGGAGTAGACTTTGCTGTTTCCAGAAGCGAGGCCCGTATATTTGGGAGAGCCCCTGCCTCCGATTTCCTTCCACTGCTCTTCAACTCTGTTTTGTTTTGTTGTTGTTGTTGTTGTAGTGGTACAATCTAGACTCGGCAACCTCCACCTCCCAGGTTCAAACAATTCTCCTGCCTCAGCCTCTGGAGTAGCTGGGATTACAGGCACCCACCACCATGCCTGGCTAATTTTTGTATTTTTAGTAGAGACAGGTTTCACCATGTTGGCCAGGCTGGTCTAGAACTCCTGACCTCAAGTGATCTGCTCGCCTCAGCCTCCCAAAGTGCTGGGATTACAGGTGTGAGCCACTGCACCCAGCCAGGTTCATTTTTTTTCACAGTACAATACATACTTTATTCAAAGGACTTTGCTACGTGTAATACATGAATGCTCACCATGAAAGCTTTAAAAATTAAAAGCAGGAAGACAAAGGATAAAAGTAAGATAAAATCAAAGAAAGGCCAGCACCCAGGGCTAACTGGTAATACTTTGTTGCCAGTCTGCAGACTTCTCCATGTGTGATGGGTTATCACGGCTGCAGCTGTGCAAAGGGGCCCCTGAATGGAAGGGCCGGGGTGAGGCTGAGGGGGCCTCCTGTATCCTCACCCTGGAGTCACTGTTTGGGTCCCACCTGTCAATCAGATTAGGATGAGGCTGCAAGGAGGTTTTGTAAACATCTTTGGTTTCACCCTAGTTTTCTTTTTTTCTTTTTTTTTCTTTTTTTTTTTTTTTTTGAGACAGAGTCTCGCTCAGTTGCCCGGGCTGGAGTGCAGTGGCGCGATCTCGGCTCACTGCAAGCTCCGCCTCCCAGGTTCACGCCATTCTCCTGCCTCAGCCTCCGGAGTAGCTGGGACTACAGGCGCCCACCACCTCGCCCGGCTAACTTTTTGTATTTTTTAGTAGAGACAGGGTTTTACCGTGTTAGCCAGGATGGTCTCGATCTCCCGACCTCGTGATCTGCCCGCCTCGGCCTCCCAAAGTGCTGGGATTACAGGCGTGAGCCACTGCGCCCGGCCTCGCCCTAGTTTTCATTCTCCACCTGAGGACACTGAGGCTCCAAATGCCCGGAGTCCCAGAGTAGAGTGGCAGGGCCGTTCTCTGTGACTCCACTGCCAGCGTCCTCTCTGCGTCTGTCCTGGAACCGCAACAGTCCAGAGCCGCGGCGCAGAGCAGCTATTATGCAGCCTGACAGAAAACCCCTGAGCGGAGCGCACTGGGTCACAGGGGCTGTCCAAGGCCCTCCTAACCCAGACATCAGGCTGCAGGTGCTTCCTGGAGGGTCAGAGGGTCGGGGTCAGGCAGGCAGAACGGACCCATGGACGCTGACCTGTCTGCAAGGGGCCCCCTCTCCGGGAGCTGAGCTGATCCCGGGAGCTAGACAGGCTGTCACGTGAAAGGCAGAGCCTGACAGGCACCCAGGGAGAAGCCACAGGACGAAGACAGCACGGCCCCGCTCACCCTCCCTCTCCCCTCACCCTCCCTCTCCCCTCACCCTCCCTCTCCCCTCACCCTCCCTCTCCCCTCACCCTCCCTCTCCCCTCACCCTCCCTCTCCCCTCACCCTCCCTCTCCCTCACCCTCCCTCTCCCTCACCCTCCCTCTCCCTCACCCTCCCCTCTCCCTCACCCTCCCTCTCCCTCTCCCCTCACCCTCCCTCCCTCTCCCCTCACCCTCCCTCTCCCCTCACCCTCCCTCTCCCTCACCCCTCCCTCTCCCTCACCCTCCCTCTCCCCTCACCCTCCCTCTCCCTCACCCTCCCCTCTCCCTCTCCCCTCACCCTCCCTCTCCCTCACCCCTCCCTCTCCCTCACCCTCCCTCTCCCCCTCCCCCTCCCCCTCCCTCTCCCTCACCCTCCCTCTCCCTCACCCTCCCTCTCCCTCACCCTCCCTCTCCCCCTCCCCTCCCTCTCCCCTCACCCTCCCTCTCCCCTCACCCTCCCTCTCCCCTCACCCTCCCTCTCCCCTCACCTCCCTCTCCCTCCTCCCCTCCCTCACCCTCCCCTCTCCCCTCACCCTCCCTCTCCCCTCACCCCTCCCCTCCCTCCCCTCTCCCCTCACCCTCCCTCTCCCCTCACCCTCCCCTCCTCCCTCTCCCCTCACCCTCCCTCTCCCTCACCCTCCTCTCCTCCCTCCTCTCCCCTCACCCTCCCTCTCCCTCATCACCCCCTCCCCTCCCCTCTCCCCTCACCCTCCCTCTCCCTCCCCCCCTCCCCTCCCCTCACCCTCCCCTCCCTCTCCCCTCACCCTCCTCTCCTCCCCCCCTCTCCCCTCACCCTCCCCTCTCCCCTCACCCCTCCCTCTCCCCTCACCCTCCCTCTCCCTCACCCTCCCTCTCCCCTCACCCTCCCCTCTCCCCTCACCCCTCCCTCTCCCTCACCCTCCCTCTCCCCTCTCCCCTCACCTCTCCCTCTCCCCTCACCTCCCTCTCCCCTCACCCTCCCTCTCCCCTCACCCCTCCCTCTCCCCTCACCCTCCCTCTCCCCTCACCCTCCCTCTCCCTCACCCTCCCTCTCCCCCTCACCCTCCCTCTCCCCTCACCCTCCCCCTCCCCTCACCCTCCCCTCCCTCACCCTCCCTCTCCCCTCACCCTCCCTCTCCCTCTCCCCTCACCATCCCTCTCCCTCTCCCTCACCCTCCCTCTCCCCTCATCCTCCCTCTCCCCTCACCCTCCCTCTCCCTCACCCTCCCTCTCCCCTCATCCTCCCTCTCCCCTCATCCTCCCTCTCCCCTCACCCTCCCTCTCCCTACCTCCCTCTCCCCTCACCCTCCCTCTTCCCTCATCCTCCCTCTCCCTCACCCTCCCTCTCTCACATCCTCCCTCTCTCACATCCTCCCTCTCCCTCACCCTCCCTCTCTCACATTCTCCCTCTCCCTCACCCTCCCTCTCCCTCACCCTCCCTCTCCCTCTCCCCTCACCCTCCCTCTCCCTCACCCTCCCTCTCTCACATCCTCCCTCTCCCTCACCCTCCCTCTCTCACATCCTCCCTCTCCCTCACCCTCCCTCTCTCACATCCTCCCTCTCCCTCACCCTCCCTCTCTCACATCCTCCCTCTCCCTCACCCTACCTCTCCCCTCACTCTACCTCTCTCCTCACTCTCCCTCACTCTCATCCTCCCTCACCCTCACCCTCCCTGTCCCTCACCCTCCCTGTCCCTCACCCTAACCCTCCCTTTCCATCACCCTCCCTGTCCCTCACCCTAACCCTCCCTTTCCATCACCCTCCCTGTCCCTCACCCTCCCTCTCCCTCAACCTCCCTCTCCCTCCCCTCCTCACTCTGACACTCCTTTTGAAGGCTCCAGAAACCTGGGAGAAGTGGCAGTGTTTGCAGCTGGCTGTCAGCTCCACGTCCACAGAGCCCAAAGCTGCCCACGTGCCGGGAGACCTGTGCTTCGGACCCCCACAGGCACCACGGGAGGCCTCTGCGCAGTGCCTCATCTTCTCAGACTTCCCTGCAACCCAAGGGGGACTCGGGTCCCTGGAATCCAAACTCTCCCAGTAGCTCAGGGAGCACCGGGCTCCAGCAGCATGCTCAAAGCCACTCTCAGTGGGGAGAGCAGGAGGTCAGGTCGACCCCAGGCAGAGTCTCTCCTTCCACCTCTGCTGTGTGACTGGGCGTGAGTCCCCTGCTCCTTGGCACCATGTGGTCTCCATTTGTAAATGAGGATGGCGGCCCCAGCACAGTCCCTCTACCCCCATCACAGGGCTGTGGGGAAACTGAACCAGAACAGGATGGGAGGTCATGGCGCAGTGACTGGGAGGCCAGGCTCCCTGGGTTCACCCTCCCAAGGCCCTCAGCCTAGACCCGCCACAGAGGGGTGGCCTGGGCTTGGCTGCACCTTTCTCTTTTGAGACCTGCATTCGAAGAGCGCAGAGCCTTCCCTATCTCCCCACAGGCCCTGCTGGCCTGGGAGGGGCCCCAGGTGTGCAACCTTACACTGGCCTGGTTTGAATCCCAGCACTCTGGGATCCTCACACCTGTAATCCCAGCACTTAGGGAGGCTGAGGCAGGCGGATCACGAGGTCAGGAGAGTTCAAGACCAGCCTGGCCAACATGGTAAAACCCCATCTCTACTAAAAATACAAAAATTAGCTGGGTATGGTGGCAGGCGCCTGTAATTCCAGCTACTCGGGAGGCTGAGACAGGAGAATCACTCGAACCTGGGAAGCGGAGGTTGCGGTGAGCCGAGATCGCGCCACTGCACTCCAGCCTGAGCAATAGAGTGAGACTCCGTCTCAAAAAAAAAGAAAGAGCAAATTCTCTCTGCCTTTCTGCCTTTAACAGCATGTGACCTGGCCAGATGGCCCCTCTCTGGCCTTGATTTCCTTATCTGCAGTGGACTGCTGGGTGTGTTCCGGAAGAGCATGGCTGGCACATGGGAAGTGTTGGTACCAGGGGCTTTGACTGGGGGACTGAGAAGCGCCTGCCTGCCCTGGCTGTAGGCAGTTGCTTCTGGGTGGGTGTGGGACAGCGGGATACTCACTCCTCCACGGTGAAGCACACCAGGCGCCGGCGGAGGCCTGCGGCCCGCTGCTGCTCCAGGGCCTCCCTCCCCAGGAAGGGCACCGGTGACTTGAGCTTGCAGGTGAAGGCCAGGCCTGCCTCCAGGGGGCTGTCGTCCGGCCGCAGGTCTGCATGCCAGTGCCGGTAGCCTGTGGGAAAGGAAACCACCGGGTTGGTGCCACCCTAAGGGGGATAAGCCCTTCAGGAGATGCATGAGGATGCTGCCTAAACCTACCCCCTCCAGCCCCTACCCACACTCTCAGAGCTGCTTAGTCACCTGGGCAGGAGGCAAGGGCATCCCCAACTCCAGAAGATTCCCTGGGGTGACCCCCCCACTCCCCGAGAAGACTGCCCATCAGCACTGCAGCCCTCTGCACCCTCAGGTGGGGGTGTCAGGGAGGGGCTCGTGAAGGGGGAGCTTCCCAATGCCCAAGCTGGGTGCCCAACACCCTGGGGAATTGCCCAAAGCCCGCTCTGAGCATCCATCCTTGCTGTGGACAAGGGTCTGGGCTTCTTCCAGAGGCCACAGCACCTGCTCCCCTGCTCTATTCTTCACAGTTCTCAGAGAAACCAAGGCCCTCCATTCCAACCCAGCCTGGGCCTGCCCCCCAGGTGCCGGGCAGCACCTCAGCTCTCTGCGTCCAGGTGTGCGCGGGTGTCGCAGATCCCAACACTGCCCCTGGGGCCCTGCACAAAGACCCTGGGCAGCAAGAGGGTTTGGGGAAATGGAGGATGTCAGGCGCTGGGGTGTGGGGGAGGAAATCATGGTGTGGAAAGAAGGAAGCCGGGTGACAACACAGGGAAGGTAAACAGCTTCTTGGCCTCCAGGTGTCTCAAGCGTCACCCCCAGCCAGCCCCTCTCCCTCTCTGCCCCATGCCCTGTGCCGACCAGACCCTGCACTCACCTTTCTCAATGCTCAGGGAGTCAATGGCGCGGTACCCTGCATTGACGAGGCCGTGCTTGGCACCCGCGGCCATCACAGCCCGGTACACAGGTACGCAGGACACCTTTGGAATGTGCAGCTCCCAGCCCAGCTCCCCCACGAAGGACAGCCGCATGGCCCGGACCTGGGGGACAAGGTCATGGCTTAGATGTGGCCATGTAAGATGGCTGAGGTCCAGGGCCAGGCTACCACTTCCTGGTGGACAGCTCCTACCGTCACCATGACTACCAGCTGGCCCTGGGTCCCAGCCAGACTGCCACCAAGAAATGGGGTCTTGAAGAGCTGCTCCCTCCAGCTGCTCCGGAAATCTTTGAGGAGAAGTAGGGGGTCCCCTTTGGGAAGGGGAGATGGCAGGTTTGCTGTCTGTAGACCTCAGATTTTCTCCAGGACTGGGTTGGTTTCCTGTCTGTCATAACAAATGACCACAACTGGTGGCTTAAATCAATAGCAGGAAACTCCCTCTCAGTTCTGGAGGCTCAAAATCCAAATTCACCATGTGGGCGAGCCACGCTCCCTCTGTAGGCTCTGGAGACGTGGAGACGACCCTTCCACTCTCCAGGGAGCATCCTTCTGAGCGCCTCCAGGTGCCCCTCAGCTTGTGGCTGCGTCACTGTGATCTCTGCCTCAGCCCTACAGCCTCCCCTCTGTGTGTCTTCCAAGGACACTTGTCACTGGAGTGAGGACCTTCCCTAGCCCTACATAATGTCATCTGGAGATCCTGACCTTAATTACACCTGCAAAGATCCTATTTCCAAATAAGACGAGTTATAAGGCAGGTTCTGGCGAGTTAGGATGTAGACATATGTTTTGGGGGTCACCATTCAGTCCACAGCAGTGACCTGGGACAAGCTTCTCACCCTTCCCTGTCTGTAAGACGGGGTTGGGAGCCCAGCTTCATCTGTTTCAGAAGCTCTGAGACACATCTGCGAGGAACAGGGGGAAGGCAGCAGCCCAGCTCAAGGGACACCACCCTGGCTGCGCTCGGTGGGGACAGAGGCATCGGGGAAGGGGACAGCCAGGTGCCAAGCCCGTTGTCTGAGGATCCCATCACCCACCATTCTGGTCAGCCCCGGCCCGGCACAGGGCTCTGAAGACAGCCATAGCCTCTGCCCTTCAGGACTCAGCTCGGCCGTGAGCACAGCCATGTTCTGGGTGGGGAAGAGGCCGGAAAGCAAGGCCGCTGCCTGGGACGCCAGACCAGGCTGGCAGGCAGAGCAGGAGACTGCCATTGCAGACAGGCCTTCCAGGTGAGGGTGCAAAGGCCCAGTGCTGGGCAGCGGATATGGCGGGAGGCAGGAGAGAAAGGCCTGTGGGGCTGTGGATACCTGACTGTGAAAGACATGGTGACCCCAAGCCCTGCAGAAGTGACAGTGCCGATTACGTGCTCGTGAGCTAAGCTTCATCTCGTCCCTCCGTGGCCCATGCAACGGTGGGAACACTGTCAATCATGTCCATAGGCTGAGGCAGACACAGAGGCTCCCAGAGGCACTGAGCCAGGCCTAGGCACACCCAGCTCTGCCGAGGACAGCTGGTGTCTTTGGGAGGGTGTGTCCTGCACATCTGCACATCAGGCTAGCACTTGGCTCCGTGGAGGCCACAGGCAGCGTGGGGGGCTCCTTGCACAGGAGACGTGATTTTCCTCACACACTTGATTCGGGTGCGTGGCACGTCCACACCCAGTAACTAGAGTCTGCGTCCTCACCTTCAAGCAAACCCTTGAACCCACTGACTCCCATGGGAAAGCCTGAGTGCTCAGCCCTGGGACCACAGAGCTCACAAAAGGAACGGGGAGAGCTAGGCTGACTGCAGGATCCCAGACAGTGGAGGAGCTGATTCCACCGCTGTTCTGAGCGGAAAGGCCTTCCCGGTACAGCTCCCGCTGGGATACATCTGTGGGAGGGAGGGCAGAGGCCGCTCTCCCAACCACAGGGGCAGCTCCTTATAAACCTGACACTTTAATCACTTGGCCTCCGAGGGGCTGGATTCTAAAAGCTTTGGAAATAGCGCAAATTGTTCTAGGCTGCCATTTGCCCAGGCCTCCTACAAAACTCAAAATTGACACAGAAAATGTACTGTTGACATTTCCCTGCTTCCCTGGTGCAAGCCGTAGGCCCCTGACAAAGATTGCCTTGTCAACGGGGTTCTAATTTTAGACAGCCTATGGAGGATCTCAGGGCTCAAAGCCAATCACATTTTGAAACAGGAAATATAATTTTTAAAGTGCACCTATCCACGGCCCTCCAACTGTGGATCCCTGTTCAGACAAAGACCTGTCACCCAGCTCAGTGAGAGTTCATGGGTGGAAGGGAGGGAGCGGTCCCATCCTTCCTGGCTCCAGCAGCTCAGCGAGGATGGAGTCAGCTGGGTCCGGGTCTCTATCATATCCCATGCACGGCCTGGCCCAAGAAACGGTCCCTGAACGAAGGAGGAAAACGGGGGCCACACCTGCTTCCCGACAAAGTGAGGGAGTCTGGGGAAATCCAGGGGCCTCTCTAACATCACAGAATCACTGGTTTTTGAGGCATCTTGCATTTTTCTCCACCAAAGCAGTAGAGTGGGATCGGTCCCCAGTTCTTCCAAGTGGTGACCCACAAGGAAAGGGACAGGCCAAGTGAGGACATCCGGAACATGGGCTCCCAGTCAGCTGGGCTTGGGTGGGAACAGCATCTCCCAGCGCCCATGGGGGTCAGCCCACTCGGCCTCAGTGCCCTCCTCTGACCCATCAACCAAGGATGGCACGTGTGCACCAAGCACGTGGTCCTGGCACGCGGCCCTTGGCCACTTTGGCTCAGGTGGGCTATGAAAGCCCCGAATTGCAAGATGGAACTCCTGGCCGTGGATGGAGTCACAGAGTTGTGGAAGATCAGCAGGAAGGGCCTTATGTCAGGTTTTGTTTAAACCCTTTCCACATCCCCAAAATTCCACGCAAATAAACCTGCTGAAAATATTAAACGAAGTCAACAAAGTTGCAGAAAGCGAAGTCAAATGAACCGTCATGTATGTGTTCACACGATTTCAACAAGGGTGCTTGAAGCCACTCACAGGGAAAAAGTCTCCAACAAGTGGTGCTGGGAGGATCTGACAGCCACGTGCAGAAGCGTGAAGCTGGTCGCTTACCTTACATCACGTCCAAAAATTAACTAGACATGGAACAAAGACATAAGGGTAAGATCTGTAGCTGTACAGCCTCTGGAAGAAAGCATGGGGAGTTGGAAATGGCAAGGGTTTCCTGGACAGGACACTGAAAGCACAGGTCACAAAAGCAAAAGTCAGATGGAAGGACATTCATCATAAGCACTTTTGTGCATTGGAGGACACTAGTAAAAAGTGAAAAGGCAACCCACGGGATGGGAGAGAACATTTGCAAGTCTTACATAGGATAAGGGCCTTCTACCCAGACAGAATAAAGAACTCCTATGACTTAATAAAAAGTCAAATACCACCATTAAAAATGGGCAAAGGGGCCAGGTGTGGTGGCTCATGCCTGTAATCCCAGCACTTTGGGAGACCAAGGTGGGAGGACCATCTGAGGTCAGGAGTTCGAGACCATCCTGGCCAACATAGTGAAACCTTGTTTCCATTAAAAATATTTTTTTAAAAAAATTAGTTGAGCGTGGTGCTGTGTGCCTGTAGTCTCGGCTAATCGGGAGGCCGAGGCGGGAGAATCACTTGAATCCAAGAGGTGGAGGCTGCAGTGAGCCAAGATTGTGCCACTGCACTCCAGCTGGGGCAACAGAGCGAGACTCCGTCTAAAAAAAAAAAAATGGGCAAAGGACTTGAATCAACAATTCCCAAATACAAACGCAAATGGCCAACAGGCCCAGGAAGAGATGCTCCACATCACTCCCCATCAGAGGCACGCACAATGAGTTATCACTTTGTGCCCATGAGGATGACAATTACAAAAACAAGAAAAAGGAAGTAACAAGTGTTGGTGAGGATGTGGAGAAACTGGAGCCCTTGTACACTGTTGGTGGAAATGGAAAATGGTGCAAGCACTGTGGAAAACAGGGTGGCAGTTCTTTAAACCATTAAAAATACAACTTCCATGTGATACAGCAACCCCACTTCTGGGTATACACCCAAAGGAATTGAAAGGAGGGATTCGAAGAGGTATTTGCACACTCATGTTCACAGGGTTATTCACAATAGCCAAGAGGGAGATGCAACCCAAGTGTCCATCAACAGAGGATGAACAAGCGGGGCATGGTGGCTCACACCTGTAATCCTGCTACTTGGGGAGGCCAAGGCAGGAGGACTGCTTGAGCCCAGGAGTCTGAGACAAGCCTGGGCAACACAGGGAAGCCCTGTCTCTACAAAAAATTTTAGAGTTAGCTGGGTGTGATGGCGTGTGCCTGTAGTCCCAGCTACTTGGGAGGCTGAAAGGGGAGGATCACTTGAGCCCAGGAGGTTGAGGCAGTGAGCTGAGATCATGCCGCTACACTCCAGCCTGGGTGACAGAGTAAGACCCTGTCTCAAAGAACAAAAACAAAAACACCAGAAACAGATGATGAACAGACAAAATGTGTTCTATCCACACAAAGGAATATTATTCAGCCTTAAAAAGGAAGGAAATTTGGACGCATAACACAACGCGGATGAACACATTATAAACACATCATGCTAAGTGAAGGGAGCCAGTCACAGAAGGACAAATCCTGTCTGATTCCACTCATATGAGGTCCCTGGAGTCACCAAATTCATAGACAGTGAGAGCAGAATGGAGGGCACAGGGGCTGGGGAGGGGGAAAGGGAGTTGCCTCAATGGGGACAGAGCTTCAGTTTCATAAAATGAAGACATTCTGGAGGTTTGTTTCCCAACAATATGAACATACTTAACACTACAAAACTGTACACTTAAACTAACAAACCAGCCAACAAACCAGCTCCTTTTCTTCATGGGAAACTGAGGCTAGGAACTAAGTGACCGGCACTTTCTCGACATCCTGGGCCACAGGAACAGAGGAGCCAGGAGGTGCAGACAGAGATGGGAATTTGGGGAATGTGAGGGAATGGCCCCAGGCCAGACAGGAAGCTGCATCCTGTGTCCAACAGAAGGTCAAGGAGATACCAGAGAGACCAGGCGGGTGGGGAGCGGGGGGAAAGGCGGTACTTAAAAAGATA